CTCCCGTACGACATCAAGTCTACATGTACATTAGAGCAACAGATGCGCACTTTCGAAACGGGGAGTGGTGTAGACGTCTAGTTCGCACCCATTACCTGCTGGCATCAGAGCCTCTTAAACGCGGGGAATTCGTTGCCTGTCGGGGACGTGGGTAGGGTAAGCACGTGGCCGACTCCACGTGCGGCCCCGATCCAGCCGGTCTCCTAATGGGACATAAATGGTGGTCCTCTACTACTACTACTCCCGTCGGACCCTTCGGGTTAGGGTTGTCTGCCGCACCAGTCGCGTTCGCGCTCGAGTCACTTCGTTCCTGTCAACCACCATGAAACTCACACCCCAACGATCCCGGCGCCGCCACGGCTGTCTCAACTCTGTGTAGTATCGTGAAGCGTATACGCGGCGTGCTTCGACCTCTTTCAACATGCGTTCTCCTCGAGGTTACATCGATACCAGCAAGGAAGCGCTGGTCATGATGCAATCAGGACGATACCCCAGGACGAGAAGTCTCAGTCCGTACTCGCCGGGCACTGATAAACTTAGCCGACTCTGACATGTACCTTGGCCGCCATGCAAAGGATCAAAGCCACAAACGGTGCTGACTTTTTAGGGTTTCCGAATACCAGCCACTGCCCAGTATTCCTAGATCTTGGACGGACCTCGCGCGGAAGTGTGTATAGCCTAAGGGATCCCTGAATAATGACGCACTTTGCCTGGAATGGGAAAATGCAAACATAAACCAATCGCGGCTGTCGCTGTCGCCGTTGTTCATGCCCGAGGAGAGGCCATGCTCGAACAGCGCTCAATTATGGGCTTGACACCACCGCATATCCTGAGTTGTGGCTATTAAGCAATAGGTGTACTCACACCCACAGACTAGTCATAGTACAAGAAGTCTTCGATAAGCGCGCGGGCATACCCGCCAGCGCTTGCATGCGCGGTATACGCGGTTCGTTACTAATGGCTCACGGATCCATGAATGACATTTTGTGACTCCCTCTGGCGTAGTCGGGTTGGTACATATTATGAGCTACGACTTTCAGCATGATTCACCATGTCTGCCATCTCGCAGCCCGGTGATCTCCTACACGAATGTCTCTGGCGCCATCCTATTCGTCTGCTCCTCGCCCAGATGAGCGACGGTTAGGTATCGCGGTTCAAACGGCCGACACTCCGACAGGTTCTTTCGGAACGCTCGTACTATCCGGGAACGGCATATCTATTGCTTTGAAGAACCAGCAGGAAGACATTCGTCGCGCGCCTTACGGTCGCAACGCCGCTGTTGCGGGCGAGGTTTCTCTGTCAACAACTCAAGGTGTAACGTCAGTTGAAGTTCACGTGAGTTGAACACGACTTACCGTTTCCTACACTCGAGTTGATGATCATCTCAACCATTCGTTAGCTGGAGGGAAAGATAACATTCGTCCTCGGCGCAGCGCTTATACCGGATCTCCAGTTGTTTCAGCAAAGGTCCACTCTATGGGCGGTTGGCACTGAGATAGGCGTTTGCCCGAGCGTTCTTCCATTCGATTTCATCCTTCCAGAGAACTTCGTCGACGAGGAATCAGGAACTAGTTACCCGCTCCCTCCGTCTTACGATCCTTTGGGAGAGTCTATCTCGCTGAAAGACATGCATATCCGCTGCGTGTACCGCCTTTCCGTCTCAGTCGGAAGATCTCGCTGGTTGCCGAAGAAATCGTGAGTGTATTGCAGCTGTGAATACTTCAGAACAATGACAAGGATCCCAGAATGAATGTGGATATTGACTATGCTCCGAGGACCGTACCGCCGCGAGGTCTGATGGACACGCCGTTCCCTTTCTTCGATACAATAAAGTCTGCCCCTGAGGAGTGGTATCAAACGAGTGCGGTCCTCCACGCAAAGTCTGGGAACGGCTCTCAGCACGTCCACTGTGATGTATGCCATTTATGACGCCTCATGCGCGTTTGCTGACTGAATCTTCAAGTTTTTCATACCCTCGGTCAGAATCTTCGCGAGGCGCGACATGATCCCACTCTTCCTTCAGCTACGAGGCTCTAGTGCAAGTATGATGGCGTTATATAGCCCGGGGGTCCTAGCAGAACAAGGACTCGCTCGTCGTCTGCTGCGCATGGCGGATACAGCTAGCACAGCCCCACATATAACCATCTCCGTCAAGCGTCAAGTCGTTCTACGTTCCGGCGGGACGGACATAGCAAGATCATATGTCATCGGGACCGGCTCTATGCGATCTGTTCCTCCTGGCTATGTACCTCCGGATGTAACTGCCGACCTACTCACCGTCGACTACGAGGGGGAGATTCAGCTTGCGTCGGGCGTTACCGTGGGTGGCTTTGACGTTGGGCGAGTACGGGTATCGGTGAGTAAGCCGTATATTGGAGACCATCAGCTCAAACAAGTGTCGTTTTTCAGGACTTTATCGTCCTCTCCGTTCAGCCATCGGGACGCGCAGCGGACCAGTTTTCCAGCATGATACATACACTATCAATCCGGGTGGTTACAGGATAACGTTCCGCATACATACTTGCTATAGTAGCCACTCTGTAGCCAGGAACGTCTATAGCTCGGAGTCGCCGGCATGGATATCGTGGTGATGAGAAGCTCAGGCGAGTTTCAATTCCCGGCATACGCGTGCCGCGCGGCAATTATTTGGGTCAGGGTTAATTTCGGAGTGACCGGGCCGAGAGCTCGGCTTCCGTCCTGAAGACCGAGTTCCTTGAATGAGAACCACCATGAGCCCATGGCCTCAACGGCCTCAACGTTCAAGAAGCTTCCTTTCCTCTTTACACGAATCGGTGCAACAGCAACTGGACGTGTCCCTGACCACAGGCTTCGAGAGCTCATCTTCTCGATTCTTTATCCTTCATGAAGTGGTAGCGGTTCACAGCAGTCCTGGCCCGTATACGTTCAGCTACGCGACGAGCGATCAGACAACAGCACTCTAGAACGCAACGTAGGTCCCACGATACAAGCCACTAATCCTTGCAGTGCTGCGACGCGACGCCTTCCTATTGACTACGCTGCGGGACAACTATCGTCACATCACGACTCATACTGCGAGGCTGCGCGCCTTGCGCAAGACGAGAGTTCGGGGTTATCGCACCTCACTGCGTAGCTTACTCAGCTCTATCCACGAGGCACTGAGGTGGATAATAGGCGTGCCTATATACTCAAACGCAGTCATGGCGCTTGTAGACGCAGCTCGAACAGCTGCTTTCAGAAGCTGCGCTCGACTTGCGTCAGACACGTTGCCAGAAGCGCTGGCGACTGCTATATGACGTCAATCAGGATGGGTCACCTAAAATGTCTCCCATTCGTGTCTGGGCCACCTTTCAATATCATTGACGATTCTCCGTCCTATAACGTTGGCTCGCGCCACTCTTGCGAATGTCAAGTTTAGCACCATCATACTCTTCTGAGCCGGGTCCAGATGAACGTCGCCTCGCCATGGCATCACACAGTGCAAATTCGTTGACAGGCTCCTTCAGCACTCTCGTCAAACGTGCTAGCGGGATCGCCATTGCTCTCACCAATCAGCACGAGGACGGTCGTTATGCCACTTACGGACGTGGAGCCTCTGTAACGGGCGAGGTCTCGTTGAGTTCTACGCATGGCATTACATCTGTACAGATCACCGTGAGCTCACACTCTCGTCTTATCTCAGATTCAGCTCACATCATCTTCTCGGCAGCTCGAAGGCAAGGTAGAGATGTCACTCAATAGCATGACCATGCCTTATCCCAAGGTACTGAGTCTTTCCTCGACCTTATGGGACTCTACGAGGACATTAGACTGCCCCAGCACCATCCCCTTCGACCTTGTCATACCGCAGACATTCCTCGAACCGAAGACGGGCACAACATACCCTCTACCTCCCTCATTCGATACGGCTTTCTCGCTTTCGGACCTGCACGTCTCATGCGCCTACAACTTAATTGTCCTCGTCAATCGATCTCGCTGGACTCCCAACAAGATGTGAGCGACGTTAAACGATGCGGTGCCCCTTGGATGTTCGAAGTTAACGGTCGATTCTAGGTTGACCATTGACGTGGACTATGTTCCACGCAACCTGCCTTCTCGGGTCATGCTTGATGAACCCTTTCCGTTTTTCGATACCGTGAAGTCCGCCCCGGAGGAATGGCGCCAGAAGAGTGCCATACTATCTCCCAAACCGCACGCACCGGTGGGCCCGGTTCACTGTGATGTATGCAGAGCGCATCCCCTCCATGCATATCAGGCTGACATCCGATCTCATTGTGTAGTGGTTCACACCATCTGTGCGGGTCTTCGCCAAGCGGGACAGAGTTCCTTTCTTCCTTCAACTCCGCGGAGCGGAATCGAGCATGAAGTCACTGTATGGTTACGTAAAACAAGGCCGCGAAGAGGGATGGACTCAGCGATTTAGACGCGTTACGCAAGATGCTCACGTCGCACCTCGGATTACACTCTCAATCCAGCGACAAGTGCTGATTGACACCAGTTCCGGCGTCCACATAGCGCGATCATACCCCATTGGGACTGGCTCATTGCGGCAGGTTCCTCCGGGATACGCGCTCACAGCTCTGAGTGAAATAGATGTTTTGACGGTTGAATACGAGGGAGAGATACGACTCGACCCCGGTCTATCTGCTGCTGGTTTCGATATGGGCACACTCAGAGTGTCGGTGAGTGAGGAAAGAGTCTATTTCAATCGCGCATTGACGTGCTGTCTAGGACTTCATAGTACTCACAATTGAGCCTCCTGAAAGCGCTGGAAGCTATTATGAGAACCTCCGTCAAGTGGACGGTGTGCGTATTGTAACAGGTTGATCCCACCTGCCATAGCGAGTGCGAATGAACATACAGCGCATTCGCGTTACGAAGTGTCAGACTCATGAGTCAAATCTACGCTCTACGAGGTACTATGAGAGAGCTCTGTATCCATCGTGATAGCTATTATATCCTACTTGGTGCCGTCAATCTTACATACTGCCCGATTGTCAAGAGTCATGATCAATCGCGATCGGAGAGCGTGTTCTAGTTTCGCGACAAGGCGCTGCTAGTATTTATTTAAGGTAGACTGACCTCGAGAGGAAGGTCACTCGCAATCGCAGATAACGGCGAGGTCCTAAGTTGCAGCTGCCCGAGAGCAAAAATACCCGCTGATTCGCGCTCATGAACCATGCAGCACGCGGCACGAATTAGATCGATGTCCATGGGGTTAGGGTCAGACACCCAAGATCGCTGCGCAGGCCGCGCGGCGCGTACGCGTTCGTCCTGCTTTCCACGTTCCTCCCATCGCTCACGGAAACGGTGGACGCTGACATCCTTATGTATCCGCCTCGATGATAGGCTCAAAGAGTTTCTCCGATACCATGATGAACGTACGAATGACATAGGGAGCCGCTGGCACGCTGGCGGCTCATGGCCTTCGGAACCGTCACGGAACAAAGCAATTCACCCATGATTCGGTGGAGGTCTGCACTCCGTGGATCCCACCACGCCGTATTCTGTGCTGCAGATATGGATTCGTGGTGGCGTCATGACCAATACTCTACCAACCTCTCATAAGCCGCTGAAGAGGCTCCAGTCGTCTGACGGTGCGCCTGCCTCCTATTCTCGACTAATTCTTCTGGATGAAAGCTCAGCATCGCTTAGGAACGTCTTTGATCTTAGAGCTTTCCGGATGGCGAAAGACTCGCTCAGCGGGTACTCCACCAACTGTACCATGAGCCAGCCAGTGGCTCATAGCCCGAAGGAGATTGCGAAGATATCACGCTGGATGGTGACTCCGCCTTCGCCTATAAATATGATAAGAAGACATCGCGATCTTCGCAACGCCTCTCGCCGCCATTTCTACGTCCGTAAGGGCCACGCCTCTGGCGGGATGTCCGGAGCTCCGTCATACACATCTGAGCCTGGCCCGGATGAGCGTCGTCTCGCTATTGCGCTGCCAAGCGGTCATTCATCATCAACTTCCTTCGGCACGTTGATACAGCGCGGAAGCGGGCTAAAGGTTGCGTTGCACAACCAGCAGGATGGTGCTCGCCGTGCAACATATGGGCGCAACGCTTCAGTTGCTGGCGAGGTCTCCCTTTCAACCACGAACGGTGTCACGTCGGTGTTGATCACAGTAAGTTCACAGTATACCCCCACATATAGCGGCATGCTCATCTTACTTGCGCGCAGTTGGAAGGCAAAGCGACGGGTATATCTGGACTGACGAAGTTGCTGCACACAGAGCTGCTACACGAATCCTTGATACTATGGGAGAATGGTAGAACATACACTTGCCCAAGCATTCTGCCATTCAATTTCGTCTTTCCTGCACACTTCACGGATGGGAAATCAGGACCTGCACTCGCACTCCCCCCTTCGTACGACTCCACATTTTCATTGCACGATATGCGTGTGAGATGCGTCTACGAGCTCATTGTTCAGGTGATGCGGTCCCGTTGGGTGCCCAATAAGTCGTGAGTGCTACATATATCCAAGCGATTTCCATCAAGCTGACTGCTGACAACGGGTACAGTCTGGTCATAGACATCAACTACGTGCCACGGGCTCTTCCTGCTCGGACTGTCATGGATGCACCGTTCCCATTCTTCGACACCATCAAATCCGCTGCGGAAGAGTGGTTCCAGATGAATGCCACGATGGCGTCGAAGGCACCTTCGAGGCTGGAAGCGATTCACTGTACAGTGCGAGGCCCTGCTTGCGAGTGTGACGGATCAACGCTCACCACCTATACTCGTAGCTTTTCATCCCGTCGATACGCGCATTTACGAAGGAGACTACTATCCCCTTTTTCCTTCAACTGAGCGGGAGTATAGCCAGTATGCTCGCCCTGTACGGCTCGAGGACCCCGTCCGATGTGGCCTCAGACCATAACTCTTCACCCAGAGAACGACATACGAATGCTCCCCCTCGAATCTTTGTCGCCGTCAAACGACAAGTGGTTATTGATAGCGGCATTAGCCCCAGGGCGGTACGGACGTATACTATCGGCACTGGCTTGCTGAACTCAGTTCCCCCGGGATATGTGCCCGTCCACCAAACTCCGGGGGAGTCGAGCATGACCGACGACTACGAAGGCGAGATCCAATTCCTATCAACCCTTTCAACCAGTAGCTTTGACATTGCGAAGCTCCGTGTGACGGTGAGCCGCGCTATATGACCGCCTAGCTTCCAGCTTGACATTGATGGCTAGGACTTCGTCGTACTTACAATTGAGCCCCAAGGCAGCGCGGCATTCCTTTTTGAACGTCTTACCCAGTCGGAGGGCATCCGCATTGTTACCGGATAACATTGGCAGTATTCTACCTCTTCCCTTGTAGTGGTATCACTTCTGGTCACCTGGCCCTGATAGTTCATGTCACGGTGAACGCGAGACTCTTGGTGTATCCGGCGAAAGTATGTATACGGAAGTGGTTTGAACGACAAGTCATACTTAGCGAACGCTCCGCATATGCCTAACAGTCCGGGGTGTGAGAGGGAATACAGTCGAGATCCTGGGATGTGGCCCAACCGACTGCGTACATAGACATCACGTTATTCAGATCCCGGGCCCTTCCCCGGTCGGTGTTGACCTCGACTGCTACGTCCACTCCGTCCACTCCGGAAACACTGTATACTTTCCCTGCATACTTACCCTCCTCAACGTGGATTCACTCGGCCGGCGCGAAGTCTCCGAAGCATTTACTTATCTGGTCGCACAGCCCCTCGTCCGCATGCTTCCGCTGGTCCGTGAGCTCGAAGACGCGCGGTTGTCTCCCATGACACAGCGCTCGGCGCGCGCTGACTGAGCACACAAGTCTTTGCGACTGCCATCGCTGTCTGAAATCTCTTCCATCGACTCCCATGACGGCTGTTGCGTCTCCAACCTCGCCTGCAGTGTCCCAGCTGTCGCGGGCGCCGTCCTACGACGTAGGCGCCCACCCTCCCGCCTATGCCGGCGCGCATCACTCGCACTCTCAGCCGGCGCCGCGTGAGACGTTTGTGCGCAAGAATGATATCGTGACGGTCGTGCTGCAGGATGTTGAGGTCAACGCGCGCACTGGTCGGCCGACGTACGGCCGCGGCGCGACAATCCGCGGCGAAGTCGGGCTCGCGACGACAAACGATGTGGAGTCCGTCGTGGTGCGCTTGGAGGGACGGATGAAGATCCGGCTCGGAGATCTGACCAGTACCCATCACACGTTTGTGGATGTGCCGGTCTCGCTGGGCGTAGCGTCGAGTGTGCTTCCCTTCACTCTCACCATCCCGGAAACTTTCACGGATCGGGATGACAGCCAAGACTATCCCCTCGTCCCAAGCTTGGATATTCACGACAGACATGGCGCCTATCAGGACGAGCTTCGCGTGCGCGTAGCGTACCGCCTCGTCGTTGCCGCCAGCCGCAGTAATCTCCATATCCAGAAGTCGGTTGAGGTCGACCTGAACTATGAGCCTCGATCGCCGCAGGTGTGGCAGATGCCAGCCCCAGCGGCGCGTCCGAACTTTGCGGAGACGAAGGAGGTGCCAATGGGCTGGCAAAGCATCTCAACACAGGTCAAGGCCGCACCGCCGAGCACGATCGCCGCTATTGACTGCACGCTCTTCGTTCCATCCGCGGAAACCTTCTCTATACGCGACAAAACACCATTCACCTTGCTGTTACAAGGACCGTCTGGCAGCATGCGCGAGCTCTTCGTACCTACCGTGCCTCCCAAACTCCGCAAGAAGGAGAAGAGTGACAACTTCCCGCCACCCACGATCCGTGTCTTCATCAAGCGCCAAATTGTCTGCAGCCTACAATCGATCACCCTTGCGCACAGCTTCGAGATCGGGGAGGGAACGCTACGCATGGGCACACCAGGTCAAGCAAACTCGGGAGAAGCGCGTGTGTTGTACGAGGGCGAGATTCAATGTCCCGACTACGTCAGATACGCAGCATTTGCTACGAACAAAATTACCGTCACTGTGAGCACTTACTTAACCTCCCATAGACGTTCCGTACTGATAGCGCGTAGGACTACCTTGTACTGTCCGTCGCTCCTCACAACCCTTACTTCTCTGAGTTTGCTACCTTGGCTCACACACTCCCCCTCAAAACCGTCACTGGCTGAACTCTGCATTGGCCACGGACACTGTACACACACACGCCATTCATCTTGTACCTTAATCTCGCACCCACATCTGGAACTCATATCGCACTCCTTTTTCTTCCTGCACACCCTCTGGCACGTCAAATTGAGCCCATTGACGGAGCTCTTCCTGTGTCGCACGTCGCCATCCCTCTTGGCCGTCGCCCGACATCGACCCGAGGGAATGTACAAACGTATCGCAGTCGAAGTTGGGCTCCAGCACACGCGTGAGGAGAACTCGGTCGACATAGACGGACGAAGAAGTGGGTAGAGCCAAGGTCTCGTCGTAGAGACCTGCACCACCGATGATGAAGTATCGGTGAATGGGCATCGGTCCTTGCGATATTTCGGATAGTGCCGAAGGAAGATCATTACGGGTCGTTGCATCTCCTTCTACTCCTAGCCTTGCATCAATCAGCCTATAATCCAGGGGGGAAGGTCAGATCGGCGTACGTGTATGCTAGCTTCGACGTCAAGACAACGTTTGTCCGGTTGAGCAGCGGCCGAAATCTAAGGGGAATGCTCTCCCATGTATTTCTGCCCATGATTACGGCGTTCTTCCTGTTCTCTGGCGCAGAAGTTGTAACTCGCGCGAAATATTTCATCTCTCGTGGGAGGCGCCAGGGCAACCCCCCTGATTTGCCGATACCATGCGTAGGTGTAGCGGCGACAACGACAGTGAGACGAATGGACATGCCAGAATGAAGAGCTTAAAAATGGGCGTGAGCGAGCAGTTGTATTGGGGGATGGCAAGCTCACCTTCCGTGACGAGATCAAAGCTGGGGACAAGCTGTAAGTAGACGCGTCGACAAAGCTGCGTGACCGCGTTTAGAGTTCGGCCCGAGCCCCGAGCCCGAGCTTCGAGGCACCCGAGGCCGCTTTAGCTCTTTCAACCGAGTCCATACGATCCACCATTTGCTTCCTACTACCATCTACTCCTGTGCATGCCGCGCGGCATGGCACCCAAAACCTCTGGAAAGCAAGGTACGCTCACCAATAGTTTAAGCCACTGGACGCGTATCCTCACCTGGTCGCGCGCACCACAGGCGAGCCGGCAACCAAGCGCGTCAAGACGTCGAAAGCGGCCACCAAACCTGCCGTCAAGACGCGTCTCAAGCAAGGCCGTCTGAGTGCTCTACCTACACTTCCACTTGATGTGCTATATGAGGTATGCCGACTGCTGTATGCACTTCTATAAATCTCGGCGCCACTAACCACACGGGCGCTTCAGGTCTTCGCGCATCTCGGACCGGGCGACTTGATCTCCCTCGCACGCACGGGCAAGAACTTCCGCAGCATGCTTCTCTCGCGTCAATCAACATTCTTGTGGCGCGAAGTGCTTGCAGCGTCCGTAGAAGAGGGCTATCCGCCGCGGCCAGAGGACATGACAGAGCCGGGGTGGGCAGGCTTCTTCTTCGGTGGCTCATATTGCAGTGTAAGAACAGGACCGTACTCATAGCTGGAATGGCTTAGACTGACTCTGTATTGTAGCTATGTGCTGCCAAGACCACCCTGGAGGTTTGCTGGGCACAACGTAGACGGTTGTGCAAGGCATGCGCTGAAGAAAAGTGAGCCTGAACACCACAGACCTTCAATCCCTACTGACTCATGCACTCTTTTGAGACTTCTGCCAGTCGTCAAACTAGCCGACTGGGAGCTTATGAGCCAAGAGACCTCTTGGTCCGACATTATCTCCGCCGATAACAGACGGCCACTTGACAAGGAAGGGCTCAACCAATACGACCGCAATTCCAAGATACCACACGCATACATCGGAGACATCGAAGACTACGAGACGAAGCTCGAAGAGCTTTACGCAGAATGTGAGGGCGACAACGAGCGATGGGAACTACGTCGCGCAGAGTTCGACGCGGAGCGGAAAGAGGCGGTACAGGCTCGCAAAGCAGTAAGCATCTCGGTTGTATGCCAGTGGCCCTCTATAAACGCGCCCTTCTAGCATGCACGCCTTTGCATTAAATGGGAAGGGACACGTGCCAGTCAACGTAGCCGCGAATTGGGTGATACGAGGCGTGATAGAGGCAAAGAGTAAGCCTTCACGTTCCTAACCGCTCTTCGGCGTCTTTGAACTGAACTTCTCGCAGGATAGTCAAACGCCTCTTAGCATTAGGATACGACCGACGAGACGTTGTCAATTACAGCATACGCGAGCACAAAGACTACAAGGATGCTAGACCATTGACCGATAAGAGTGAGCCTCTTTTATAGAAGGTTCGGATGAAAAAGTCCTGATGGTGTGATAGTCTGGACACGCATACAGCCAGGTCTTGTTGCAACAGTTGAGAAACATCGTGCGAATCGACTATTTATGGCGAAAAATGAGCGGCACCACAAGAGGCAAGAGGCAATTCGGATCGAGTACGTCGATCATGTCCTACGTCGCGTTGATCACAGTGTCGTGCCCTTCTTGCCGCCTCTGGAGAAGATCTACAAACTCTTCCCCGAGGCCGAGGCCGTCATCGAACCGGATGGCGAGGTCACCGATGACTTGCGCGCCTTGATTCGCCAAGCCCTTCCTTCAGGTCTCCCAGCCTTGCAGCGATTCATCGACGAACGCGGTAGCAGCCTTCGCGCAAAGATACCCCCCGAGTGGCTGCCGTCAAAGGAGCCTAGATCCGCGCCAGTGGATCCTATCACGACTCCCGAGCAGCTCAGCATAAGTCGAATCACAGATCTTGACCGCGCCGTGTATGTGACTCGCTGTGCAAACGAGCTTAGTTATGGATTGCGCCGCAAGAAGCATCTACCCATCCATTTCGGCCTCGATGCGCTAGCCCATTTTTGCGATCGAAGCTACGAAATCTCTGAAGACGCATTAACATCTCCGCGGGTAAATGGCTTTGCGTTCGATCAAACATGTCACGATACGGTTGCCCACATCTGTGCGCTCTTGGGACTTGATGCCGCAATCGCGACACCTCTGGATCTCAACAAATTGGACCGAGCCTTCGTGTGCATAAACTGCCCCCGCGACACCCGAGGGGCCGTTTTCATGACATGGCATGACGCAGTGGGTATCTTCATACGTGGTTGCTTCGAAACGAACTCATTTTTCTCAGGTCGCTCATGCTGATCCCCACCGCCGTCAAGCGCATACATCGAAGCGGCCGACGTTCCGTCTGGCATCCGACATAGAGAAACGCTACCTCAAGGCACATCTGATGCGGTCTGGGCGAGGTTCCCTCTGCGACGGAGTCTGGGGTTGCACGTACTGTTCGGATCATCTGAAGTTATGCAATCCTGGCGCCAGTTGGGCCTTTGGTTCGCGGGATCAGTTTATGTCGATTGACGACGCCAGAAAGCATCTACAAGAGAAGTGAGCCAACTCTCCAACTTATCAGCCAAGACTTTCGCTGAACTCATGATAGACATAATAAATCTACGGCCGTTGAGGGTGAAGATATATACTTCAAGAGAAGTGAGACGAACAGTTACCGTTTTGTGCACGCCTTGTACGAAGAGAAACGAGAGCGGAAACGCCAACTTCGTACGACAGACGATGTCGTGCTTCCAACCGTGGACTCGGAGGGGGCGCTTTTGGCCCTGACGGTGGCGAAGGAAACGCTGAACGAGCAGCAGTCTGCTGCTGCTGCTGCTAATCCTCATTTGATGGACTGGGACTCCGATGGTGGTTCAGACTAGATATTTTGCACCTGTCGCTGTATATTCTTTCATATCGACCGTATCCAGTGTTCATCTCATACCCATGCACGTCTGAAGAGTCCATTAGGCTTCCCCGTGCTAGGATGCGCCCCTTGAGAAACTAACGTGACCGCGATGCTCCCAGGGCCAGGGCACGCGCCATGACGCAGGGCGCGAGATTTCTGCGCTGCCTCGTCGTCGTTGCCTTTGACCACCACCTTCCTGTTCTTTCGCCCTCGCGCCCCACTTCCCCGCTCCCACTACTGAGCACACCCCTCCTCCACCGCGTCCGCAAGGGCGCGGTTGCGCGTGCGAGCGCGCGGACTGTGTCAGCGTACCGATACACGCATCCGTGTCGGGATCTGCCTGCTGCAAGGTCTTGGGGAAATCCCAGAACATCTGCCCTCATCTATACCTGCTGGTCATATCAGGCGATCTTTTGAAAAATTGGAAGAGAATTACGTCGAGTCGAGCACCTGCCCGAGTCCGCTCGAGCAGTCTCTGGGCGACCAGGACCCACACTCCACGCGGTATCGTGAGCACCCCGCCCAAACCGGCGGACGGGTGTTGCGCTCTCGAGCTGCATTTGCCGCGATGTTGCGTCGAGTGCGCACCGACATCGCTTTGTCGCGTTATTACGCATGCGACCGCTCCTCGACTAGTTCGACTCTGGTTTCGAGATCTGCGCTCTCTATGAACACCATAGCGTCAACATCAGTGTTGTACAGTACGTTCGCGTGCATAAGCTGTGAATGCTTCCCATTCTGATACAAAGCATAGCATCCTCGTCAGCTTCATGCGTTGAACGGACTGCGCACCGCGTTGGGTATCGGCAACCCAGCTGCCCCGCTCTCCTCTACGTGAGGGTTGAGCCCCGCCGCTCAGGTCAACAAAGCCTGAGTGTGCCCCCACTGCCTGCAGCCTCAGGTTGAAGCCCCGCTCTCTGTGATATCTCTGGATCGAGTCGCCGACGGGCCGACCATCCAGATGGATATCACAGATCTGAGCCTGCTCCCTGCACTTGGCCGCCCGCGCCTATCCCTCCCTCACAGACGCCCCCTGCGCCTTCGACGCTGTGCGTTGCCTGCATCGGTTGAGAGCAATCTCCTGGTGAAGTGGCATCTGCACGCTTTGTCGCGTTGCATGTAGAGCAGATGTTGAGTCGAAGTTTAGGATGCGAGCGTCTCCCCCTCGAGGCGTGCAACCCTTGGGGGAGAGTAATAGACTCGTGCGCGTAGAGCGCCCCGTTCCCGTGCAGCAGCACTTGTGTGCCCCCGCGTTGATCCCGCCGAAGGTTCGGCGTGTAGTGGTGCACCTTGTCGCATATGCGCCGGTTGTAGCGACGCTCCCTGTTCTCATTAAATGGCGCGGCTTTGGGTTATATTCGCAATCATCCGTTCTGACCTTCGGGTCCGCCTGGTCTCCGAGCGTTTGAGGTCGTGTGTGTTGGTGTTTGAGGGAGTGGAGAAGGAAGGAGGGCTCCGGCAGGCCTGCTCGATGGCCTTGCCTTTCTGGACAGTTCTTGGACTCTTGTTTGTACTCCAACATACGATCATAGACTGCGGTTCTTGTAGCCTTACGACGTACAGTACACTCTCATTTTACGCCCTTTGCCACGGACATGCTATAACGAATAAAATTACACTTGTTGATGGACTACGTTACTGTATGATCTGCATCACGGCGAGGGCAAGCCGCTTGGCGGTGAATGTGGTCGTCAGGAAGCCGTCGTATAAGCGCCTGAACGCCGGTGCGCGTGCCGCAACGGGCTTGGTTCCCGCAGCGTGGAACAACTTCTTGACCTGCACCCATCTCGTCGTCGACTGCAAGACTCCCGGTTCTCGCCCTGGCCCCGTCTGCTCAACACTCGTCATTCCTTGACACCGACTTTCGTTTGATTCTGTAAACAACCCTGCCGGCTGCGAAACCATGCGCAGTCTATTCCCGCGTTGCGCGCACACGCTTCTCCTGCCCGGCCTTACCGCTCTCGCCCTCCTCCTTCCAACAGCAAGCGCAGTGCGCATACCTGTCACACCCGTGCCGGGCTCTGGATACGTCCACGCACCGCGACGGCTGGCCGCGCGCGCCAATTCTACCGTCGGCGTCGAGGTCGAGAACGTCTCGAACGTCGAATATCTTGGGAACATCACTCTAAATGGGGAGACGTTCACCGTCATCCTCGATACTGGGAGGTATGTTTGCCGCATTGAGAGTCTGTGAGAATACGCGGGAGCTGACGGGTGACGGGCAGCGCTGATCTCTGGGTCGCGGGCAGCGTACCGAACTCGAATGATCTTGGCAAAACCGTGTCGTTGAGCTATGCGATCGGCACTGCCAAAGGCAACGTCAACTCGGCAAAACTCACGTTCGACGACTATTCCGTCGACAACCAAGCGTTCGGTACGCCCGGCTATATATAGTAAACGCATCGCTATTTGTGGCACCTAACTGACATCTTCTGTTCGTAGTGCTTGTCACCGACACTTCAACATTCTCTTCCGACTTTGCCACTGCCGCTTACAAGGGCCTCCTTGGGTTAGGACCTAACTCTGGCTCTGTCATCTATCGCAAGCTCGATGCGGATGACAACGGGGGCGACAGCGCGCTCTTCCGCATCTTTGAAGAATCCCAAGCAACCTCGCAGTTCATCACCCTCTACCTCAACCGCCTCGACTCGACGGGGAAATCCACCAACCAATCCGAATTCACCATATCAGAAGTCATCCCTGGTTTCGAGGCCGTTCAACAACAGCAGAAGTTGACCATCAAGGACGTACCCACACTTACCGATGCCGACCAACATTGGGCCGTTCTCAGTGATGCGTGGGGGTTGACAGGACCGGATGGGAACTTCGTGGAGATTGGGTCAACCGTGCCGAGGGTGGACGACGACAAACTTGTTGCTGTTATTGATTCCGGCTTCACATATTCGCAGGTACCGCGCGACATGTCCGACGCCATCTACGGGCGCGTACAAGGCGCCTGGTACGATGAGACCCAGGAGCTCTGGCGGGTTCCGTGTGCTCAGGAATTGAGCATCACATTCCACTTCGGTGGTGTGGACTTCCCTATCCACCCCCTCGATGTCAGTACGAGCGACATCACGGTCACGCAGGCTGGTACCAAGTACTGCACTGGTACTTTCCAACCCATCACTACGGCGTTCAGCTTGCTCGGAGAGTACGACATTATCCTCGGCATGTCCTTTTGTTCGTCCGTTCTCTACTCTCAGTCTATCCTTCTCGCTGACATGACAACGCAGTGAGGAACGCTTACGTGCTCATCGACTTCGGCGACTTCGTCGATAACGGCAAGGACACCTCTGACCCGTTCGTCCAAATGCTCCCCACAACCACCAACACCACTGCACACGTCGAGTTCCAATCTGCGCGAGGGAACTCCTCGCCTACGCTCCTTCCTGCTTCGCAACAAAGCCACAGTCCCGAAACGGCTGCAGAAATCAAGGCGCACCGCGAACAGAAAGTACTCAAGTACTGGCCGTACATCCTCGTCGGCTGTCTCGCTTTCGTCTTCATCTCGACGGGCCTGTGCATCTGGGCATGCTGCATGCGCCGCAAGCGTAGGCGCGCCGCTGCTGCCGCTACCGCTGCAGGGCTGGCTATGCCTACGCGGCAGACCCAGTCGGATTATGTTGCGTTGGGTGAACAGAGGGGGCTCGGAGTCGCGGGACAGAAGGATGCGATGATGAGCTCGGATAGTGTTTATGCCGGGAGGCCGAGCACGAGCAGTTTCCGGCCAGATCAGGAGTATGGAGGGTATGGCTATGGGAAGCATTAGTAGTGATCTATTACGGGGAGGTGTATGGGTGTGTGGAGGGTGGTGCTTTGAGTACTTATCGTACATTGTATATTCACTCGTTGACTCGCTGGATCGACATTGCTATCGTACAACACTCTTACTGAAGGTGCTTCCAACGAAGCTAGCGATATGATTGTGGTGATAACAATGTGAGAATTGTAGAATGTAAGACCTAGATTGCAGGCATAGGGCTATCGACGCAACGATCGGGCTGTCCGCGTATATGCTGGCAGCTCCTCCGGTGGTCCAGAGGACCCCGCCTGACCAGTAACACCGACATGTCCTTCGAGCCTCCACTTCCACTCTTCTGCCTCCTTCCACGCAAACCCTGCCGTTCCGAAGTTGACTTCGAAAACGCACTCTCCCTGAACGCCCAGGCATGCATATACGTCCGCTAACCCGCGCGGCATATAGACGCTTGGGAAAGCATCAGGCTGCCGCTGGCCGTTGTATGTGAAGAATATAGCCCCGGTCGAGAACTCGTAGCCACAGCCAATCACACAGCCTGGGTGGACCTTCAAGTGGGAAGCATAGTCCCGCCCGCCGTCACCGTCTTCGAAGAACTTGCGCATGTCGTCGAGGTGGAGGGCTGCGGATTGCCTGTTCCAACCTGGGAGACGGTACTCTGGGTAGGGTCGGCATGCCGTTCCTTTGAATTCCGGGTCGGTATGGACGATGGCAAAAAGACTGCGAGAAAGTGCTCACCGACAGCAATTGTACCCTCCATCTTGTGGATGAGGACCTCGTAGTACACGCCCAGCTTACCTCTGGGCACATCATACATCCCACCGATAATCGGCAGGTTGCTCAAGATGCACGTATCGCCGCATTTCTTGCGAGTCGTGACGCGCCAGGCGCCGGAAAGACCCTTCTTATTATCGCCAGAGACAGAACCGTCGAAACGGCGTAGTGTGGGTGTTACAAGACCCCAAGCACCCGCTCCGCGCTCAACGATACGTTCGACGTCTGCCGAGGAGATGAAGCGCGGTTGCTCGAGAGGGTTGACGCTGCAAAACTGTTCTGCTGCATCGAACTCGTCTTCCGGGGCGTCACTCAGGAGGCCCAGGGTGTGAGAACGCTCTGGAGCTGCAGTCCAAGTAGGAGGAGGTGCAGAAGGGGGTGGTCCACGAGGGGCTGTCCGGCCTGGAGGAGGCCCCGAGGGTGGCGCATAATACGCCTGTTGCGCGCTCGAGGGAGGAGGGCCGGGGGGTGGCGCATGATATGCCTGTTGCCCAGTAGGAGGAGACGGTCCAGGAGGAGGCGCATAACTTGAATGCTGTTCACCCGCGTCTCTATCCAGTCTATTGCGAATCTTGCGGAGGAAGGACATGATAGTTTGTGTTCAGTTGGGTGGCTCGGTGAGACTCCTTTGAGCTATTGGTACATCCGGTGTGCTAGCACGAGGCTGTGCCCATGATCAATAACGGCAGGGTCAATACGGCCCCCGGCGCATGCGTCGTGATGGTTTCTATCCAAGACGCGTCTGACGAGTTCGGTCTCGACCACCATGACTGACACTTCCTCCGGCGATGAGGTCAATAAAATATGTTCTTGCTGTCAACACTGCCAGGAGAATGGTTGACCATTATACTGCCTGGACCCCGATCACAGGCGAATCAATAGGCCCCTGTGGCGTCTCTTCTTGCATACGCATATCCTTGCTCTACATCTTCTGGCCACGCGTTGCGCGTACACAAGGCTCTATGACCTCACAGCACATTCTTCTCCGCCTGAAGAACCGATCAGTACGCATGCGGAATGGGCCGCGGGTAGCTGCATCCTTGCACTCGGGAACATGGAGTATCCGTGGTTTGTGTGGTTGTTTGGGCGTCTTCCCTCAAGAATGGTCCAAAGCCTGCGGTCGGACCGTGGGCGCCAACCACCACCCGGATCTAAATAAAAAGTGCCACCAGCTCTACTCCTGCTTGTCTCTGTATCACTTTCCCTCCATCCGCCCATGTCTGCACAAAGCGATTCCTCGGAAATATTTCCAAATATGATCTTTTCAGCGTCAGCATCGACAAGCCAACTCAGCTGGGACGAGGTTTCTCAAGTCTCGGTGATGGATGAGGACGAAGAATACGACGATTGCTCGCGACTACTCGTGCCACCACCAGCTCGCTCACTTTCACCTGGATCCGACATGATGCATGGCGTGCTCCTTCCAGCCCATACACCGGAGGCGGTCAGTGACTGTTTTCCGCTACACATCTGCGTGTCAGCTGATTACTCTTTAGGGATTTGCGCACCAGAGAAGCCAAAGGATGCCCGTAACCGACGATAACTACGTCTACATTCTACAATCTGAGCTCCGGAGAAACGAACGCAGCACTGTGCATTCTGCCAGGGTCCAAGCTCTGGTGTCTCTCGACGCTTCCGTGGATTCGATACTCTCAACTTCGCCTGAACGCAGCTCCGACATGCCCAAACATGTTGCAGTAAAGATCTACCCCAAGTTTTACGAAGCATTCTCGCGGCGCGAAGTGGACAACGAGATTGAGATACTTCGCCGCATACAAGAGCATCCAAGTCCCTTCCTGTGTCACATGTACAGTCATTTTGAGGACGACGAGCAAGTGTACATCGTTACGGTATGGCAAAATCCACTCTTCCGCACTACGCACGGTCCTAATCTTGCGAATAGGACTTGTATCGGGATGCGTTGTCCGATCTGGCGGCGGAATGGGTCATAGACCTGTCACTGGACGAGATCCGTTCCTACGGCGCACAGATCGTGAGCGAAATAGTCTGTTCCTGCTTTACTACGCTCACACAGCAGATAGTTGCAAGCTATCGAGGACATGCGCTCCCTTGGGATCGTTCACTATCGCATCAGCCCAGAGAACATCTTCAGCACGTCCAGTGGGCACCTCGTCCTCGACGATTTCTCCCATGCAGTATGGCGAGCAAAGACCCCTCAAGATTGCTTCACTATGTCCGCCTCTGAGCATTCTGACGGCGAGAACCTAGAAGGATTCGATGTGGACATGCACGCGTACCATCTCATCTTTTCGAACCTTCTCCGCACTTGGAGCGGACAACACTGCGCGAGCTCCGTTGTCGGTTCGGTCTCCAAATGCGATGCCTCCCAAGGCTTTGAGGGGAATGCGGTCAACCCATTTGAGGGTGTCTTGTAAGTTTATCCCGCTTTGCGCTTCGAAGGACGATGGATGATCCTAATTTCCGACCAGGCGGATACCTCGCATGGATATTCCGAGCTCATGATGCGCAACCCGGGAAGGTTAATGGGGCGCATACTGTGAACTTGAAGGCTAGCGTAATCTCTCTTCACGATGTCATTCATATAAGTAGCAACTTGGTACTAGGTATCTCTGTAATATACGCTTCGCATACTGTGCATCCGTTCATCCGGAGATATACCAAGACACACTGTAGTTCCGTCACTCCTCAACCGGCAAAATGGCCACCCTGCAGCGGCGGCGCTCCTTGCCAGAAGCGCAGGCCCGCAGCGGTGACGAGCGGAACTCGGTCCGCAGAGCCGGAAGACCCAGTGGCAAGACGCGCGATGACGCGCACGAGCATCCTGAGTTGATTCGAACGTCCACCTCCTTGTCTACGATACTCGTCTCAACCGTTTAAGCTCACATGTTTGGCTCGTTTCTGAGAACCTTAGTACGTACATGGCAAAGGCTGCTTGCTCGCTGCTGATGCATATCTGCCTTTATGCAGCCGGAGATCACCCTCTTGTAAGCACTGAGCAGGACCTTCACCTTCCTGTATATCTGATGAACGAGCTCGCAGTCACAACAAAACGTCGCCAACATCCGTGAAGGCCTTAGCTTTACTTCAATCTGCTCTCTCCGACCCATATCCTCCACATACATCCAAAGCACCACTAAAGTTCAACCTAACTATCGCGGAGAACCCACCCACCGCGGATCAAATCAGGACAATGCTACCATACCTCACACGCTCGGACTCGCCCGCAGCACTGTTATCGTCACATCCATCTGCACCTAGCGGCGAGGACCGACCCACGACCCCCGAAGGCGTAGTCGATGTAGCTACTCGCACGCCGAGTGCGCTTAAATGGCCTATTGTCGTCGATTGGAACTCGGGTCGCGCGGCTGCCGGGAGTCTAGATGGAGTTGCCGAGATGCTTGAGTACCTGCGGAAAGTTCGTGATGAAGAAGTGAAAGAGTCGTGAAGGGATCTGTAACGTGAGACATTTCAAATGCCGCATGGAGATTATCTGCATGATGTCGGTATCATCGGGACACTTCATGCACATCCATGCCAGGCAGTTTTGTACATACCTCATGCTGTAGTATGGATGAAACGAGAGTCTTTACGCGATCTCTATGTTGTTCTCGCATGTCAAGGTAGAACGCTGGCTGCGACCATTGAAGCTCGAAGGACGGGGTGGGTTCCGTTACAACGTTGATAGCGTTTCGAGTACCGGCTGCTTATCTTACAGCATTGTTACCCGCATGGGTTCGGGTATACACTATACGCAGTGGTGCAATCGGTTTCCTAGGGTCACTCGGAAGATACGGCGCTCGGCTTTTCGATCCTAGGCTACACTGGAGAGTATTCTCACTCTGCATCGAATCGGGCCCGATATTTCATCGGGTCGCCCTTCGTGCACATCAAGCGCGCCTCTGCAGGCACTCTTTCACGCCGTAACGTATCACTCAAGCGATATGCGGAATGGATCAGCTACCACGTGAAACTTGGGCAGTTCGAGTCTCGCATAGTGCCACAGTTGCAGTTGGGGGATCGCTGCGACGTCGTCTACACACCGTGACATCGCCAAAAGGCTGTACGTAGCGGCTGCGTACAAGTCTATAGCATACAAGACCAGTATCAAACGCGGCCCGTGCACGCACTTCGGTTATCTAGGTAACCGGGGAGAGGATATCGGCCCGCCGCATACCGGATTACATAGCCCACTGGCGCCCTGACAATGTCTATGGTTGTCAAGGCGTGCTGTACCCGCCCTCATATGTGAGCCTACGGGTTCAACCTCTGCCAGGTTGGCGCTTTAGGTCCGCTACTCCGCGGTGACCATCCCGTGTAATGCGTCGCGCAATACCATGTAAACGGGCTACGCGCAGTGCCGGTTTCGTCGTAGGGTTGATAAGTTGGAGGTATAGCTCGCTCATGCGACTCAAAAGACTCAGATACAGAGTCTCTCTTGACAAGAAGTCTGAACATGACCTTCTACAGCATCATGAATCAATGTGGCGTAGAGCATGACCACACTTCGACAATGAAAAGGTTCGCCCGCAAGCTTGCCTGCCACTGCCAAGCCAGTGAGGGTGCGATGCATGACGACATGTATATGACTCTCATGGGTGGCAAGCCTTTGTCATACATACGTGACTTGATGCACCTGAGTTCAAGCAGCATTTGTGCGGTGATGCCAGCGGCGGCGCCACACTGTAATGTACCGCAACTCCGAGGCTAGTTGTAGGATTAGGGGTCTGATATGGACTGAACGGCTCGCAGAGTATAGTATACCGAGCAAGCTAGTGCGCCCATACCCATACCTTAGTGCCAAGAGCTATGTTATCGGGGATTATGGCCCGCAAGCGGCGTGGAGGTGCGTGAGATAGCGACACGGAAATCTTGAACCGAGCTCAGTGGGTGCGCGCCTTTCATGCGCCCACCATCACCGTCGCTCGTGCCTGTGCTCTCCCTCCCGCCGCAGAGCTGCTATCTCTACGCCAGATCGGCGTTCAACCGAATCTTATGACGAGAACACCGTCATTCAGGTAGAGATCGACGAAGAAGTTGGATGCAGCGTCTGATTTGGTCAGGGCGCCGCCTGCGTCCTCGATCTGTCAGCCCGCCCTACTGCCAAACCCGTCCAAGAATCATGTTCGGCATCACGCATTGCCTGCTCCTGTCACTATGGCTCCACACGGAAGCACGATGGTAAGCCGTATACGATGTCCCGCGCGGAAGTTACAAGGATTACCAGTCAGGACAATAGTCCCGACGTGTAGATTTACGCGTTCGCCTCGTTGGAATAATCCCTCATACCTATGCTGTCTACTTGCCGCAGTTTTCTTCCAGGTCAGGCCTCGCTGAAACGCGCTGGTCTAGATGTCACTTCACCGAGTGCTTCTTATGTCAAACTGGTTGGACCTGACGCTCGCTCTGCGGCTTGCAATCGCCCAGGAAGACTGCAGATCTGGCCTGTGAATCTCGCTGCCCGCCACAGCCTACTCTAAGTGAACTCCTGCATCATACGAGAGAGATGCGCCTGTGAGAAACTATGAGTGGACAATGTCATTGGCGTATTGAAGCCAAGGTACCTACTATGATCCCCAGGCTCTGGCGCGTGCATATCTTAATCTTTCATTAGCGCCTGCTGATCGGAAACGGGAAAGGATGTTCTGCGCAGACTGGCTACCATCAGGTCTGGACCCTATCACCGACAACGACGCGTATCTGTCTCTCGAGACAGCGCCAGCCACCCCCCACAACACATAGCAAGGGTCGTAGAGGCCTGAACTCTTCATAAAGCATTGTCTCAATTGCTGGGATCCCAGTTACCGCATTCGTCACCTAGAGCGCCAGGCGGACTCGCCGTTGTATGGGGAGGCGGCCGGAGTTGCTTCATACTAACCCCTTAACGAACGAGTTCGTCCCATATGCTCAAGCTGTATTGATACCGCAACTTTTGCCAAACATCACTAGAATGGCCTCTTCGCGCGTTCACGCTGCGGAATGTACCGCGCAGCGCTACCACATCCGCGTCCAGACCTGGCGGTAAACATCCTTGACGCGGGCTTTCCTAACATCCGAACACGATACAACAGTAAGGAACCGCGGTCTGATTGTCCTTCATCCCTGACAGCAGAGGCGCCCATGCACACTCTGCAATTCCGCGTCATGGTTGTGACACGGGCGCCCGATACGGCGGTGCTCCCGCCCAAGTAGGACCTTCAATACTAGAAGCTTTAAAGCGCTTCGTCTCAGATTGACATTATATAACACCCCGCGTCCCCGCCACCGCACCCCGCGCCTCCTCGCACCTGTCATCTGATATCAATTCCAGTTCGGGGATCACCTTGCAATTTCGACTTTCATGCCCGTCTCTATCCTTGCGTCCGATGCTTCAAGTTCAATCTCCTCTAGCCCGCGTATGCGTTCGCACAAGGGAAATCGGCCTTCCCTCCCTCAGTCGAAACATTGCCCTATGTGCCCAGCTCGCTTCACAAGGTCAACACACCTTAATCGCCACCTGAGAACACGTAGGCAGTTTTCATTGGGTCTATTTCTGCTGATATCTGACGATTATTGCATGTCCAGACACCAACGAGCGTCTGTATTGTTGTGACGTGAGCCATTTCCTTCCTTTAGGAGGAAAGAAGTGGTACTCATCGCCCTCCCTCAGACCTGCCGGGCAGAGTTCACCAGGAGCGATCTCCTTACAAGACACAAGCGAAGCTGCGGAGATCCGTGAGTACAATAGCATGGGCACTTTACAAATACTTATAGTGCTATGTAGCGCCAACGAGAATAAGTCGAGGCGCAAGTCGTGCCAGGCGTGCGCTGAAAGCAAGGTCAAGTGCGATCTGGGCGAGCCCTGCTCCAAATGTGTACTTCGTCGGAGGGACTGTACATATCTTAACGACCCCAAGACCTCACTGGAGAAGAAAGCAGCGTCACTGGCCCGCAAACAGAAGAAACTCGCCGCCGCCCAACGTGACTATCCTGATAGTGAGGCTTCTTCACCCTCTCCGCCACTTTCGCCCTTTGGAAGTAGCGATCTGAATTCGCCCATGACGCCTCACGATCTCAACCCCTTCGACCGGAACAGTTCGTCGTCCTCGCTGTCTTCGATGGCTCAGTCCGTGTGCGATCTGGCGAACGAATTAGAGTTCTCCTACGCAACTGATTCCCTCTTCCCGCCATTTGACGCCGAGTTGACAACTCCGGAGGTCGATCACAGTGAGCGCATTACCTTTTGAGATGGGGAATCTCTCACGCCCTTCACAGTCGGCAGCCTGGCGCTGGACCCAGACGTCGAAAGCTTCGACGACGCTCTTACCAAGCTTATGACCGGCCACACTTCCAGCAGCTGTGCTGCTATCTCGGAAGCCATGCCTGCAGATTACTTCGCGCCCGCGGCGTTTGAGGGATGGTTCAGCGGCGACTTGCCAAGCCCTTCCTTGGCTTCGATGGCGGCGGCGGCGGCGACATCGTACATGGCAGAGCCTATAGCGGGCCCATCAATTCAGTCATTTACGTCTGCACAATGCCCTGACCCATCCGTGATGTGGCCTCCCCAACCGTCATCGTCGCCGTCTCAGCCACCGTCCTCTGACTCTGCCATCTATGGAAACCTCTCATCCTCGGCTACGTCACAACATTATCGTACGTCCAACATGATCTATTACCGTTCGAACATCGCCATGACGCTTACCTTGCAGTGTATATGTTCCACACCGCATTTCTCTCGCATATCCCGTTGCTGCATCTGCCGACTTTGTCCCTCAGGGACAAGCCTCCTATTCTCGTGCATGCCATGCAGGCATGCGGAGCGCTGTTCGTCAATACACAAGAAGCGAACGAATTCGTGATCGATACACTCAACAGCACTCGAGATCAGCTATTGCAACTGATGGTCAGTCAAGTTCGCCGGCACCTCAACCTACGCTAACGATGGGTTATGCAGACAAAGGCGTCGAACGACTTTGAGCAACAGCTCTACTTGATCATCGCAGGACTGTTGCTTCAAGCACTTGACCTGGAACGCAGTAGTTTTGAGAAGCGGGCTTCGTCAAATATCTACCACGGCATGCTGATCATGGTATAATACCCACTCACTTGGTCGAGATTTCAATCAAACTAATGCACAACTCCAGATGATCCAACGATGCGGGCTTGTCTCTCGTAGTTCGGAGTATGTGCCGCCGCCTCTCAAAGGAGCGAATCTGCCCTATGTCGATGCCGCCTGGAGAGACTGGGCGATGCATGAAACCATCAAACGGTAGGGCGCATATGACTTTTTTCGTTACTCGGCGCTGAACTCAGATTCAGCGCTCTCCACGTCGCATACATCCACGACGCTTTCCACTGCGTCTTCTGTGAGTCTATTCGGGCATGTAGCACCGTGTCCGAGCGCTCATAGATGCTTTCAGATTCGCTTCCGCCGTCATTCCCTCGGAACGAGATGAACTTGCCCGTCGACGAAGATCTTTGGCGCGCAGGCAGTGCCGAAGAGTGGTCCGCTATCTTACATCGGACCTCCCCGAACGGCGAAACATCGGCACGTTTGACCGGATTCAACGCTCAGAACGCGTTATCAGTGTTTGGGAGCATGCACTTTATGCCCATTCAGCTACCATTGTCATCTTTTGCACATCTTGTCCTCATCCACTCGCTCCTTTCCGACATCTACGCGCCATCCTCGATCAGCGCCACAGGCGCCGTTCAGACCGATACCTTCACCCTCCATAACGCCCTACACGCGTGGTTGCATAGCTGGAGACATGCACCGGACGCGCCAGTTCTCGACATCGGCAATCCGGGAACGCGATTCTACCAAAACGCGTTACCATATTATTGGCTCGCGCAGATCACGTTGCTCGTTAGCGCTCAGGCCCCGCGCTTCTACACGCTCGCCGCAGATGTGCGGTACAAGGTGGTCACCCAATGGGTCAAGCGTATACAAGGTGTTATTCGGGACGGAGAGCAGGTCTCCACGACCATCTGGCTTGATTTGATGGCTGCTGCTGAAGCTCCGGAGGGCCCAGAGACGATCTCCTTATCAAATCATAGGTTCATGTACTACAATTTTTAGAGGTTTGGCAGGGCTCGTCGCTCTTTCGGTGTCGATCATGGACCTATTGATAATCTATGGCATCTTCCTTGGTGTTGCTGGTTTGACAGGGGATCCTGTTATGGCTCCTAGGCATTACTTAGATTTCTTCTCATCGGATTATGTACTCAATCATGCATGAATCACCTACTTCATCTGTATTATGGGCTCGTCACGTTTGTGTTGTATGTTATCACCCATCACCAACTGACTCCTGTGCTGTTGAAATCGAACGACAGGGTGGCTGCCCCATGAACCTAACAGTTGATTTCGTGTGGTCCGGACAAAGACTTTGCCAAGCAGAAAATGAGACTCTTCTCAAGCGACTCTGGGCGATAACACTGATACTGACTTCAGGCGCTCTTGCTAATCGGTCGAAGCGGTAGCCGAACGTCGGCACCGTATGTCGCGTCATGCCTGCGGGCGCCACGCCGAACACGATAATCTAGAGCTTGGCTATGTGTTTTACAGGCGGCCGTGCGTCGGTAACAATCCGACCTGATCATGCTCATGGAGGTGTGATGATATGACTAGACTGCTAGGACTCAACAGTCATGATTAGACGACACAGGCCCAAGTCCGAGGAACTATCTAGCTGCGCCAGGGCTGCATGTACACTTCGTAACACGTTCCCTGTTGTTTCCGACTGAACTGAGGACCCACGCTAAACACTATACGGGCGAGACCGATGAGAAGCATGTTGGCAGCATATTTACTCAAGATGGGTACCTGGGCGTCGAAGACAAGTTGTCGACGCGCGCCGGTGGGCGCGGCCGAAGTCGATCTCGAACTCAAAATGTTCGGATGCGATCCGTGGGAAACAGGTCATGCACCCGCGATCGGCGCTGTCGTTCAGGCGACCGCGCGCACGACGACGAGGCAGGCGCGAAGCTCGTTTGCGTGACAGCACAACCCTCGACTCTGCATTGAACTTCACAGCACGGACTCTTGACTTTTCTTGACATGTCCTTCTTCAACTCAATTGGGTGCGCTTTCTGTGGCGGCTGATCACATAGGTGGACTAACGTCGAAACGCAGTCGTTCAATGCGGGGCAATGCGCCGAGGCAGAGTAAGCGTTCGCCGACCCCGACATCCGCGACTTTTCCTACGTCTTCGAGTGCAGACAGTCTCCCGCCGGCATCACCATCGACGACACCCGGCCAAAAGCCGCTATATCTGTGCAGCCCGTTCGTCGAAGCGGCGCTTGTGAAAGGCAACTTCAAGACCATCGTCATGTTGCCCAAGTACGTGGATATCATGGAATGGGTTGCCGTGAATGGTATGGTCTCCTACGTCTTGTCATGTTCGCAGGCTCACGATCGACATCGCGCTACCAGTGTTCGACTTCTTCCAGAATCTCAACATGTTTTACGGCGTTATCTCAGAGTGCTGCACGCAACAATCGTGTCCGACGATGTCTGCCGGCCCCGCGTATGTACTCTATTTTTGCCCATCTGCGAGGTGCTGAAACCGGGTTTAATCAGGTTAAGCTACACGTGGATAAACCAGGATCGCAAGAGTGTGCAGCTGGCTGCACCGACATACATCGACTACGTCATGACTTGGGTACAGAACCTTCTTGACGATGAAGCGACGTTCCCCACCAAGTCTGGTATGTCTCCAGTTGCTCTAGGCTGCTTCGGACAATGAACGCAGCACTACAGGTCACGACTTTCCACCCTCCTTCCCCGCAACCATCAAGCACGTCTATCGCCAGTTACTTCGTGTCTTTGCGCACATCTACCACGCACACTACCCTCAAATCCTTCACCTGCGTTCAGAGCCGCACTTCAACTCGCTCTTCGCGCATTTCCTAGCCTTCGGCCGCGAATATGAACTTCTTGACATCAAAGATGTTCGTGGGGCCCCGGGCACGCCCGCTGTCGGCATTGGCGCACTGTGGGAACGTTGGAGGGAGATGGGTATCCTCGAGGGGTAGATACGACCACGAAAGCCGTCGATTTGCCTTCAAATATACCTACTTACATTTACGCGGAATTCCCTATTTGTGCCTTTTTTGCTTCACGGATCCTCTCCATAGACACGTCTTCTTAGTTATACCCCCAAAACAGTCGTAGTCTCTACAGCGCAGATAGAATAGGGCACGACAAGAATATCTGCGTCAAAGTCTGCACACGCGCGGCGATGGAGTTCCAGATCAATCGCGGTCACGCCCGCTAGATCTTTTTCGCAGTTCGAGTTTGCTCTCTGCTTTCACTTGCCACTTGCTATCCTTGTTGCTGTCGATCACTTGCTACTACAATGTCTGTCTATTCTCTACACGGAAAGGGCCTCAAGCTCGACACACGTACTGATATCGAGCCGTATCTGCGCGAGATCAACCCGGAAGCGCTCGAAGAGATTCACCTCGGTGGCAACACCATTGGTATCGAGGCTGCGCAGGCTCTTGCCGAGGTTCTGCAGAAAGCTACAAATTTGAGGGTATATCTGAGACGCCCTATACAACTCGGAATACCGCTCTGATCTCTGTACAGGTGGCCGACTATGCCGACATCTTCACCGGTCGATTGATCAGCGAGATCCCGCAAGCGATCTCTGCTCTCTGCGACGCCCTTATCGACAAGGAGCATCTCATCGAGATCGACCTCTCTGACAACGCATTCGGTGGACGTGTCGTTGACCCGCTTGTACCATTCTTGACCGGCAATCGTTCATACCAAATATTCAAGTTGAACAATAATGGCCTCGGTCCCGCTGGCGGCACGGTGATCGCGGATGCTCTGCGCGCGAACGCCGAACTGTCAGCGAAGGAAGGGAAGAAGTCCAATTTGCGCGTGGTGGTGTGTGGTAGAAATCGTCTGGAGGACGGATCAGCGTCGGCATGGGCTGCCGCCTTTAAAGCGCACGGAACGCTGGAGGAGGTTCGCATGCCGCAGAACGGGATCCGCATGGACGGAATCGAGGCGCTCGCGGGTGGTCTTTCCGCGAATCCTTCGTTGGCACATCTCGATCTACAGGACAACACGTTTTCGCAGCAAGGAGAGCGTGCCTTTGCAGCGGCCCTTTCGAAGTGGCCGGCTTTGCACACGCTCAACTTCTCTGACTGCGTACTCTCGGACGAGGGCCAGGTGCCGGAGACAATCACCGCCCTCGCGGCCGGTTCGAGTCCTGCTCTCAAGCGCTTGCTCATCCAGAACAACAACCTCGATGCCGCGACGCTGAAGGTTCTTGCTGACAACATCGGTGGCGGACTCAAGACGGTCTCGCGCATCGAGTTTCAAGCTAACGACGTAGAGGAGGATGACGAGGAGATGCTCGCCCTGATGGAGAACATGACCGCACGTGGCGGCAAGTTCCTCTTCGATGACGAAGATGAGGAGGAGGAAGAGCCAGACATCAACGAGCAGGAGCCGGAGGCAGTGCCTGCAGCTGCTGAAGTCGCGAAAGTGCTTTCGCCAGGCCAGGCCAAGACGCCGGCCGATAACGACGCCGACGATCTCGCTGACTTGCTCGGGAAGGTCTCTCTTAACAAGTAGATGATCTCATCAACTATCATACCCATCTGCCATTTTGCATTCTGATTACCCGGGCTTACATTGGCGTCATTCACACTCAAAACAACCATCATCTATTGTACATGTTATCTCTGCGGAAGCACATATATTGCCATTTTCTGCATACAGAGAAGCTACGGGGTTCATCGCTTTACTATCAACCAGTGGCCCTCAACAGCCGCCTTCGGAGCAATCTCCCCTTGCTTTTCGCACTGGGATAGCCATGCGTCGAGTGCATCGCTTCCTGCGGGCAGATCAATGTCAAAGAGTAATAAGCGACCGATCCAGGGTCGTGAGGACGGGCCGAATTCGCGATACGATTTTCGAAACACCGCCCATGCAGAGCGCCGTGCATGCTCGCGAAGGTCATTCAGAAGCCCTTCTAGAGCTGCTACAGCAAGGTCGGGGCCGGAGTCCGGCGGTGGCGGCCGTTGTGGGAGCACTTCCAGTGCTGTCCTCGTTCGAGATAAAACCTCGAAGCGGGAGCCTTCGTTCCGGTGCAAAGAATGAGCCAAGCCTAATATCCATGACTCGAGGGCATCATCCGGTTTACAATCCTTGAGTAGTTCTGTACGCGCTTGATAGAAGTGTTTTTGCGAAGCGCCTCGATCGACCAATGCCCGGAGCTGAACAAGCACATACGTCCAGATGATAGGAGTATTTGCCGAACGAACAAGTAGACAGTGAAGTAGATGAGAATATATGGAAGCCAGGTTCGCCGTCGAGCGAAATATCAGGGACAGATATAGGGACGTCTCATAGACTAAAGGGCGGTGTGAGCGTAGCAATCACGGCTTTCCGAGAGATAGACTGTATAGGGTTGTGACTTGCCTTCCACGGCAAACTCGTCCGCACGCTTCGTTGCTGATATGCCTTCTCGTAGCTTTCCTAGTTAAGGAACAGTTAGGCGCCGGCGGCATACGGGAGCGATCGTAAGCGCGCACGAAGTTGAATCAGTATATTTCCTTCTACCTCCTTCCGGTGGTTCTCGATCTCGGTATCACTGCCTCGCTGACCGACGGGAAAACGTTCCCAATAGGTGTCGAGCTTTGTTTGTATCAGCACTGAGCGTCGGCCTCCGTGCGATATCTAAGCGCAGCGCACCTTCCCTTGGATGAAAGCGCGATACTCTACTTGCACAACAGGATCCTTCAATCTGTTTCAACGCAGGTTCAGGGTCATGGCGGCTCGGCATGCAACAGCATAACCCACGCGTCTCCGTCCTTATCGAGGCCACTGCTACGGCTCACCGAGGCGATGTACTCGAAATCGCGCCGCCCATGGGCGTTCGATGAGGTGCCTCGCGATCCGCCTCGATGCGAGCCTGGATGGTTGCGGTTCATCGCGTTTGCGCTCGCGCTCACACCCGTAGTGCCGCGCCCTCGACGCCATGGCTCTCCGATGCCAGCACTGGGCGCGGATCCGCGAGCATGAGAGTCCCTGGGCGGCATCGTCTGCGTTGTGGGAGTTGGAAGTTGAGGGCAAACCAACTTCCGCGTTCTGCGGAGCGACCACATCGAGCGGCGCTTGCTTCTGAGCGGCCATCATCCGAGCCACGTCTCTCACGTCTTCGGTGCCTAAGTTCACACATACACTGCTACTGTATATTGCTTAGTCGCCGTCTCAATGGCTGTGGAGACTGGCGTTGTCGCGGAATTTTCACCGCAGACTGTGCCCGTCGGCGAGGGCCCGCCGACGAGAGAGCAGCTTCTGGTCCATTATCCGCACAAATTCACTTGGCAGCAGTTGCGAACCTTCGTTAATTCTGGGTTCGTGCTTGACAGTTGGCACAACGTTTGATGTAGCGCTCTGACGTAGTCCGTATCAGAGATCTGGGTATGCTGAAGCGTGACAGAACTCTACAACGCCGTTATGACGACTGGGCGAAGGGGATCAAGGCCGAATATGGGTCGATGGGTGCGTGTAGGCATTCCGCCCGCGGCTCGGAATCCGACACATACATCATGCAGTGAATTACCTCCTGACGTACCGTCTTCAGTGGGGGAAACCAGATACTCGATCGAGATTGAAGAGTAGATTGGATCTGTCAACCGATGTCACGACCTCGTTGCAAACTTCGTCATCACCCGGTGAGACACCCTCGCTACCGACGATCCCGCCTGGCGCCCCGGCCCACTTCACCGCTGATATCTCCCCGGAACTCATCAGTATCATTCAGAATGACTGGCCGTACTCGGGTGCGTAATCGGCTCATCAACGGCTTTATTCGGTTCTAACTCTCGATAGTACCACCAAACATCGAACACACACTAGTGTGGACCGTTACGGGTGTTATGCCGCCCAACATACCCGAGTCCATCCGACCCCGTCTCTATCAGGACGGCCTCTGGGGTTTCACCGGGTACAGGAAAAGCTCGCCACCTCCCTCGCCTTCGCTTCTCCCGAAGTGTCTACCAGCCTTGGCAGAATGGGGAGTTACGGAGGATAAGTTGATTCGCAGCCCCAAGGGGACTGAGGAGGAAGAGGCGGCCGTGCGCGAAGCTGGCAAGGAGATCCAGACCTTCGTAGAGCGCCGCTGGCCCGTTAAGGCATGGGAGACGGCATGGTTTGTCAACCCACCTGTACGTCGCGACATACTCGCGCAGCTGACTCTAGTACTGACGCGTACATGACCTTCTCAGCGGCTGCAGAGCGTACCGGGACTAGCGCACATACATGTCTTCGCCCGGTACAAGGACGAGGCCGAACAGACCGAATGGGATGCCGAGCGTGCATGAACATTGAGCCTGCATAGAAGAGATCGATGACATGAGTAGACAGCATGGCGACGTTGCGCCCAGCCTAGACAAGTAGCACTTTCCTAGTAACACTCTAGCCTGAATAAGATTTGGGGTGCCCTCACGCGGCACTGCACGCCTAGATGACCTATTGTTCTCTGTGTAAAGACAAGGCGTTGCTTACTATTGAGTTTGCTCCGTCATACTTTTGTATTGGCTTGTAGACACGGCACGCCGCGTGCGAGCTTTGATCGAAGAGGGCATATCTTTTGGGGTAGGTGAGTACCACAGCCGTGATTGCAAGGCTCACGGTACGTTGCCTAGTGATACGTAATATTCTGTGTGCCTTTGTCTTCTATGTGGCTGACAGGTAGCGCGAAAGATGCATGATTCTGATATTCCACCTACGCGACCGTCCCGACAAGGTCATCGCTCAAATTGGAATACGGTACGAATGCGTACATCCTCAAAGCGGTACAGTGCCTTACGCCTTCATGCGGTGATAAGCAGGGAGGCGGGAACGTTTCACGTCAGCGCTCATCAAGGGCCTGACAACGGACAGGGCGCGAAGCGCGCCAGACGCGTTCACAATTTCACACGTGACCGCGTCGAGCTCTGCATTTTCCAAGAACGCGTCGGGGTGCATAGCTTGCTCTCAACGCCGACCGCGGCGAGCTCGACAGTCTCGTCGTCATGTTCGCGAATCCATTAGCTATAGACCTGAAGAAGCAGCTCGGGCGGCTGCTTGAAACCACCTCCAGGTCCGGTTCTCCGCATCTACACGCCCTCCAAAACGCGTCTTCGCGCGCGACTCTGCTTAGAACTTTATCTGGCGCACTGCTTGACCCCGCTCTCACGACGGCGATCGCGCACACCTTTAGACCGATTCTAATCGACTTATGCTCGCGCTGGATCGAGAATAATGACTTTGTCGAAGAGAAGCTGGAAGCATTATGCTTGCTCGTGCAGACACACGAAGAGCTTTTCCCGTACGCGTCTATTTCGTTCCTCTCAATACACGCATACTAATAAACGTCTTAGCATCCTGTCCAGCCTTCTGCGCAACAATATCTCGGAAGATGGGCCACTAGCTTTTGTTTTGCAGACCGCGCCTGTGCAGAATATCGACACAAAACGTCTACATCGAGCGCTGTTAGCGTACTACCGCATCTTGACGGCGAACGGCGAGTTGCCTTCGTTACACTCGTGGCCGTTGGAGCCGCTCAGTGCTCTGGCTTGGGCGCCTCATCCCGACCCCGCGGTGCGCTTGATGGCCGTAAGGTGCTATGCCCTACAAAGTGAGATGGGCGAGGGCGAGCGAGAGAGGATGGAGTTGGAAGTCGTAGGGAGGATTGACGAGGTCGATTGTCCGCTCTATGCTGGGCCGGACATCTCCGGAAAGGATCTCGCCATCGACGCCTGGGTGATCGCTGCGATTGAGGCGAGAAGGGTTCAAGAGGAGCGCGACGCCATTGGAGCGGACAACACGGACTTTTATGGGGACCAAGACCCTATACAGCAAGCGGAACTCAGGTAGGCGTTATCTGGCTTACAAATATATCACCGTACTGATGACCCTTCAAGCTCTCTTGTCGTTAATGTTCACGGTATCCTTATGTCTCGCCAACCTGGTCCGGTGCAGGCTCCTGATTTGGTACCGACAACGACAAGCATCGCGGCTCTGCAGAACCTCGCCCTTCGCATATCTCTCAGCGTACCCACATTGCTCACTTCTGCGCCGTCTGCAGCGAAGTCGCTCTTCCTGACACATCTTGCGGCAAGTCTCCACCCCGGCGCAGTCAATCAAATCGTAACGCTTCCTCTGGCCGACACATCTCTCGATCCGCGCGCGCTACTGGGTAGCTACGTCAGTTCACCAACGAAGCCCGGTACATTTGAGTGGCGCGAAGGCGTCCTTGTCCGTGCAATGCGCGCCGGGCGCTGGCTGGTACTGGAAGACATCGATAAGGGTTCAGCGGAGGTCCTAGGCACGCTCGCTCCTCTTGCTGCCTCCCTTACGCCCGGAGTACGCGCCATCGGTGGACGGGCGCGTCTTAATATCCCCGGACGGGAAATCGTTGTCGCAGAGGAGAGCTTCAGGCTATTTGCCACACGCAGCGTACCATCGGCTCGCCATGGTGCATTCCCGAAACCTACGTTCTTCGCCGCCCACAAGTTCTCTGAGTTAACCATCGGCACACCGGGCGTTGATGAGCTACAGATCATCGTTGACGCGCGCTTCCCGCGTCTTCGTGGTTCGGCTGCGGCGGGCGCTATCGCGCTTTGGACCGTGATGAAAGATCTCGGTAGTGGCGGCTCTGGTGCTCGTCCCATCGGCTTACGAGAGCTCGATAAGTTCTGCTTGCGACTCTCATCAGTCTTGCCAGCGTCCTTCCAAACAATGGATCTCGACACAGACGTACAAGCGCCATATCTCTTGCCGCTCGTCTTCACGAACCCGACTCTTCGCGAGGATATCTTCCTTGAGGCTCGTGATGTCTTCTTTGGCGCGGGAGCAACTACGTCTACAGCCCGTGCCCACAGCGACGTTATGGCAGCGCTTGCCGCGGAGCATCTTGCACTCGCTCCTGAGACTCGGGACGCACTGCTGCACACTCGCGCAGCCGAGTTTACTGTCGATCGCGACGCGAATGGGAACGTCACGGCTGTGTGGACGGGGCGTGTGCGCCTACTTGCTGCACCTCTTCGTGCTGAGGTTCTCCAACTTCAGGCGCCGCAGAGGCCCTTCGCGATGCACAGACCTGCACGGACGCTACTTGCACGCATCGGAGCCGCCATCTCGTTGGCGGAACCCGTGCTCCTTACCGGCGAGACGGGCACAGGAAAGACGAGCGCCGTCACGCATCTTGCTGGCCTGCTGCGAAGGAACCTTGTCAGTCTGAACCTGAGCCAGCAGAGCGAGGGCGCGGATCTGGTTGGTGGCTTCAAGCCTGTGGAGGCGAGGATTATGGGCGGCGAGATTGGCGAGAGGTGGACGGCATTATTCAGGGCCACTTTCAGTACGAAGAAGAACCCAGTAAGGATGAACCGCCCAGTTTCATGAATCATAACTTATCTATGTGACAGCGGTTCGAAGGAGACGTACAGAAGGCGATGCGGGAGGGGAAGTGGAAGAGGGTGGTTGTGTTGTGGAGGGAGAGTGCTCGGATTGCGAAGGAGCGCCTTAACGGGAAGATGGCCAAGTAAGTCTTCCTTGACATCTGCCTCAAATACGAGCTGATTGTTCTACAGAGGAGAGGAGGAGAAAGACGAGTTGGACTCGCAGGCGCCGCGCAAGAGACGCAAGACGGAAGATCTGGCCGAATCGCTCAAGAAGTGGACGAATCTAGAGGAGGACGTCACACGCTTCGAGGTTCAGCACGTGCAAGGCAAGGGTAAATTTGCTTTCAGCTTTGTCGAGGGTCCGCTTGTGAAAGCCCTTCGCTCTGGGGACTGGTCAGTGTTTAAAGCCCATAGTATTGGTAGTTATACTGAGGCTTCGCACAGGATTTTGCTCGACGAGATTAATCTTGCAAGTCCAGAGACGCTTGAAGCCGTGTCTGGTCTATTGAGTGGTCCCACTGCATCCATCACCCTCACCGAGCAAGGCTCGCTCGAGCCAGTTCCCCGTCACCCCGACTTCAGACTCTTCGCATGCATGAACCCTGCGACCGACGTCGGCAAGAAGGATCTTCCACCCCACATTCGTTCTCGCTTCACAGAGATCGACGTTCCTCCCCCCGACGCGGACCGCGAGACACTTCTCACCATCGTCGCTCAATATATCGGCGGTGTTGCGCTCGGCGACAAGGCCGCCATTCTGGACGTTGCCGAATTCTATTCAGCCACCAAGGCGCTTGCCGAATCTCGCCAGCTCGCGGACGGCGCCAACCATCGGCCACACTTCAGCATGCGCACACTGGCTCGGGCGCTCACATTCGCGGCGGATATTGCGCCAATGTATAGTCTACGCCGTGCATTATGGGAGGGCTGCTTGATGGCTTTCACTATGGCCCTGGATGTTCATAGCGCGAAGGCGGTCACGGCGTTGGCCGAGAAGCACATCCTTCACGGCGTCAAGAACGTGCGCTCGCTACTCACGAAGGAACCGCCGCCGCCATCTGGGCGCTCCGTCGAAGAGTTCGTGAAGTTCGGACCCTTTTACCTCGAGCGCGGCCCGCTGCCTCTCGAAGCCGCGCCGGATTACATCATCACGCCCTCCGTGTCCCAGAAGCTCATTGATCTGGCGCGTATCGTCTCTTCCCGGCGGTATCCTGTTCTTATTGAGGGCCCTACATCCGCCGGCAAAACGTCCGCAATCGAGTATCTGGCTCGTCGCACCGGCCACCGCTTCGTGAGAATCAATAATCACGAACACACCGATATACAGGAGTACCTCGGCACATACGTCTCCGACCCTGAGACCGGAGCGCTCGTCTGGCGTGACGGTCTTCTCGTGCAGGCTCTGCGCCAAGGGGACTGGTTGGTACTCGACGAGCTGAATCTGGCGCCGACGGACGTGCTCGAAGCGCTGAATCGCTTGCTCGATGACAATCGCGAGCTTGTTCTTCCCGCGACGGGTGAGGTTCTCCGCCCACACCCCTCCTTCGTGCTATTCGCTACGCAGAATCCGCCGGGTCTGTACGCCGGCCGGAAGGTTCTGTCGCGTGCGTTCCGCAACCGCTTCCTCGAGGTGCACTTCGCGGATGTTCCCCAAGTCGAACTCGAGCGCATTCTCTGCGAACGAGCGCGCATCGCGCCTTCATACGCTGCGAAGATTGTGACAGTATTCCAAGAGCTTCAGAAACGTCGGCAAGCCGGTCGCGTGTTCGAGTCCAAGAACGCGTTCGCAACACTTCGCGACCTCTTCCGATGGGCCGGCCGTGACGCCGTCGGCTACCAGGAGCTGGCGGAGAATGGGTACATGCTCCTCGCTGAGCGCGCGCGTCGAGCGGACGACCGCGCAGTCGTGCAGGAGGTCATCGAGGAAGTTATGCGACCCGTCAAGATTGACCCCCGCGCATTATATAACCTCGAAGCTGCCCAATTCACCGAGCGGCTAGGCTTCACGCTTCCCAGCGGCGCGGACTTAGTGTGGACCGGTGCGATGCGGCGTCTCCTTGTGCTCCTCGGGCGCGCGCTGCGCTTCGACGAGCCAGTCCTGCTCGTCGGGGAGACTGGAACAGGGAAGACGTCAGTCGTGCAGGTCTTAGCGGACACTGTCGGGAGGGAACTGTTCCAACTATCCTGTCACCAGAACACGGAGACGGCCGATCTTATCGGTGGATTGCGACCTGTGCGCAATCGTGCTGCCGTTGAGGCTGAGGCGAGGCAAGAAGCCATGTCTGTTCTCGCCGATGCTGGTGTGGACGTCGAGCGGATAGATGTAGTCGCAGCACTCGATCGACTATCTCGGCAGACGGAGGACGGCCCGTTAGCCATCCGCGCCGCCAACGCACGCGGTAAACTTGCTCGGCTCGGCGCGATCTTCGAATGGCACGACGGCCCGTTAGTCACCGCTATGCGCTCGGGCTCTGTTTTCTTGCTGGACGAGATATCGCTTGCAGACGACAGTGTTTTAGAACGCCTCAACTCCGTTCTCGAACCTGCTCGTACCGTGGTCCTCGCCGAGCGCGCCGGTGGTGAAGCCGTCACGGCTGCACAGGGTTTCAAGCTCGTTGCGACGATGAACCCGGGTGGCGATTATGGCAAGAAGGAACTAAGCCCCGCTTTGCGCAATCGATTCACGGAGATCTGGGTCCCGGCCGTTGAGGATCGTGCGGACCTCGAAGGGATTGTCGATGGAAGATGGGCGCACGCGGCGTTGAAGCCTTACACTGCGCCGCTCCTAGACTTCTGCGAGTGGATAGGTGTGAGGGTTAACGAACGTAGTCTTCTTGGACTCCGTGATATACTGGTGCGTGTAACTGATGTATCGATACTTCCTCGGCTGATTGACGTGAGCAGGCTTGGGTCTCGTTCTCGAACTACGTACTGAGCTCGTCGACCTTGAAGAACCTGTCACTCCAGGCCCTTTTCGTGAGTTATCATTCCTTGATGTACGGTGTCATACTGACTGGTGTATAGCATCACGCTGCTCACCTTGTATGCCTCGATGGACTGGGCTCTATGCCCGTTCTATCCGCATATACTTCGGATGCTCTGGCCAAGGTCAAGGCTGAAGCGATGGCGAAGCTGGAGCAACTGGTGCCCCTGACCGCCGCAGTACCGGAGGCCGACATCGGTGAAGTCCATGGTGCCGTACAGCTCGGCTTATTCGCCATCCCCCGCGGTCCTCGCCCTCAGACGCTCCGCGCCTACAACGTTGACGCGCCGACGACACGTGATAACGCGATGCGCGTCGCGCGCGCCTGCCAGCTGCCTAAGCCCATCCTGCTTGAAGGAAGCCCTGGTGTCGGCAAGACGAGCCTCATCGTTGCGCTCGCCAAGCTCTGCGGATATCATCTCTGTCGCATCAACCTCTCGGACCAGACTGATCTCGCTGATCTCTTCGGAACTGACCTTCCTGTCGAGGGAGGCAAGCCTGGCGAGTTCGCTTGGAAGGACGCAGAGTTCCTTACCGCAATGCAGCAGGGCCATTGGGTGTTGCTTGATGAGATGAATCTTGCGCCGCAATCCGTACTTGAAGGTCTCAATGCCGTGCTTGATCATCGCGGCACGGTCTTTATCCCGGAGCTGGGCCGCTCATTCACGAAGCATCCCTCATTCAGAATCTTCGCCGCGCAGAATCCTATCGCACAAGGCGGCGGGCGTAAAGGGTTGCCTAAGTCCTACGTCAACCGCTTCACGAAGGTCTACGTTGAGGCGCTGACCGCGCAGGACCTGCATCTTATTGGCCACCATTTATTCCCCGAGTACCCAGAGGACCTCCTACACGCGATGATAGACTTCAACTCGCGCTTGCATGAGGAGGTCGCAGTGAAGCACACGTTCGGTCGTGCTGGTAGCCCCTGGGAGTTTAACCTGCGCGACGTCGCGCGCTGGGGAAGCGTTTCACATTCGCGTGGTCGGCCACTTCATCCGGTTGAACATCTCCGCTCAATATATCTCTCACGCTTCCGTACCGAGGCGGACAGAGGTGCAGCGTGTGCTTTGTTCTCAACGACTTTCGGAACTCCTGCGGAGAAGGCTATGGGCGCGCCTCACTATGCCATTGCACCCGAACTTGTCCAGGTCGGACATTACGTAGCGCAACGCGCGAACTTCTCTAGCTCAGGTTGCCATCCACAGCTCTTGCAGTCACACCTCGCTGCTGCGGAGGCTATAGGTATTGCGCTGGAACAGCAGTGGTTAGTCATCGTCACCGGCCCTCGCGAGTCTGGCAAGACGAGTCTCGTCCGTTTGATGGCCGACCTCGCCGGCGTCGCCCTCCATGAAGTCTCGATCAACAACTCAACGGACACCACGGACATCCTCGGGAGCTTCGAGCAAGTCGACGGAAGCGCGCGAGCCCGCGCCATTGTTCAACGGGTTCTCGATGTCGTTGACACTCACCTCCGCTCCATATCTGGCTCTCGCGCCCAGCTTGGTCAAGCGCAGCAGCTGCGACGGCTTGTGGCGTCGTCGGGCCCCAACGACTGGACATATCTACAAACTGCCGTCTCCGTACTTGATCAACTATCCGGCATCGACGAAGCTATCAAGAACACGCTCCGCCTCAACACCGAGGCACTATCGGCCTTGACGACTACGGAAGGACGTTTCGAATGGATTGATGGACCACTCGTACGTGCACTCAAGGAGGGCCACTGGCTACTGCTCGACAACGCCAACCTTTGCAATCCGTCCGTACTGGACCGGCTTAACGCCCTCTGTGAACCTGGTGGCGTGCTCACTCTCAATGAGCAAGGAATCGTCGACGGCGCAGTCCCAGTTATCGTGCCTCATCCGAACTTCCGCTTGCTTATGTGCGTCGACCCTCAACATGGGGAACTTTCTAGGGCTATGCGCAACCGTGGTATTGAGGTTTGCATCTCGGACGGCAGAACTGGCGAAGACATGTGTCGATTACAGGTCTCTCGTCGTCTGGCGCGGACCGTTTCAGCTGATCCCGTAGTCTTTGAGGCGCGCCGTCGAGGACTTGATGCTGCTGCTTCGCTTGTCGCATCTAATCGGTCCTCTGGGCGTCTTTATGGCGACAGCATCACTTCGTACAACAGCGATATAGCGGCCTCGCTGCTCTCCTCGTCTGCACCTCCTCTCGCTTTGTCGTCTTTACTGTTCCTCACTCGATCGCTGGTCACAACTCGCTCTCCGGCCTTTCTACGTCTACTCGGATCTGATCCTCTTGTCGGTGATCTTCGGCCCTTGCTTCAGCTCACGAGCCAGCTCGCTCCGAACAGTCGCTGGTCCAAAATTGAAGCCATGCGAGAGACCTTCGCACCAATATGGCCAGTATCTTCTGATTTTCTCTGCGTTGAGGTCAGTACTTACCATTCTCCTCCTAGCATTCGCCTTCATAGGCCTCCTCTTCGTCTTATTGTAGTTGCTGATGTATTATTCTTTGGGAATATATATAGCCTGCGGACTTCTTTGCCAAGTTCGCGGTGTGTTCACCTTCCTTCCCTGAGCTCGCGAACGTGAGACGGCAGCGCTCGGTTCTGCGAGCGATCGACATCTTCGTGAGATCAGTCGCACAAGAAATAGCCTCGCCAGACGGGCTAGTCATACCAGACGTTGCGCCAACTCAAACCGTGCAGGACAAGCTTGTTCGCGAGGTGCTCGTCGGCGTCCACACCATCGAGCAGACCGCACGCCGTTTGTATGTAGCTTTTTCAACAAGCGCCTCTCTTGACGTTTCAACATCAGTCTTGGTAAGCCGTGATGCCTTCTTCTGCGGATATCACTCTCACGCCTAGCTTAGAACGGCGTTGACGCTTTACACTCCCTACAAAAGATGGTGGCCTTCCTGCTAAGCTCTGTACATGGCGATGTCAGTTTCTCTGTCGTCCAGACCGTCGTTAAATGGCTTTCCGCCTCGCTGGAGGGAGCACCGAGTTCATTCGGCGAGATCCACAGCGCTGTTGCGGCACTCGGCCAGCTGGTTACGCCGTCGACAGGACTGGGTCTCGCGGAGATCTGGTCGGCAATGCGTGGAAACAATATTCCTGAGATCGGTTCCATACCCGCGAACACATTCAACCTTAGCCCAGGTATGACTCCATTACTGTCTTCAATGTTCTCAGTAACCGACATACCACGCAGATCTGCGTCGCGAACTCACCAACCTATACGCCATGGCGCTTCTGCCCGGATCAGCTTCTGAGCGGTCTACTGTCTTAAGCGCCATCGAATCTGTCCTTACGGTAGGTATTCACTCCAATCATCTACAACCCCGTATCTAACCATGATCTAGCGTCTCTCCAAGGCATCTCTTGATCCATCGGCATCGGAGTGCGCTGCGACGCAAGCGCCTATCGTCGTGGTGAAGCAGTTGGACGCTGTCGTCAAAGCACGTCTCGGTGGGGCCACCACCGATGCCACGGTGCGCAACTTCTTCGAGTCACCTTCAGGTTTACTAAATCACAATAGACCGTCGAGGATTTCCTTGCGCTTGCATACGCCCATAACCATATCGATCCTCGCTCGCTCGTGCCCTATCGTATTGCTGCTTGGACTCTGAAAGAGGGTTTACGTGCGTATGTGCCATGACTCGCATTGCCTAGCACTGATGAGCCGCCATATAGTTACCGTCGCGACGTCAGCGGCGATCCTTCAATCGTGGCATGAGGCACTTTGGGCGTCAAACCCCGCTGGCCCTGCCCTTCTTGTACGCGCTACTGAACTCTCGACTCTGTTCACGACTTGGTGAGTGGATGGTGGAAGTGTGGTGTGCCTTTGCTCATGGACCTGCCCAGTGATTGGCAAGCAATTACACTAAATGACCTGAGCAACTTCGAGGCCGACCTGCATAAGCAGTCGGGCATTCTGACCTTCGGCGACTCCCGCCCGCGCTCTGAAAAGATCGAAACGCTGTACCGTAATGCTGTCCTCCTCGTGAGTTAACATCTTGAGAATAGGCGCCAGATGCTAATATGATTGTGTAGCTCGCATCTTGTTTCTCGGAGAGCTTTGATCCGGGGGTAATGCGTCAACTACTTGCAGCATCCTCGTGGGTCGAGCTCGGTAGTCTACTCGCGACTACGAGCCATCCGGGTCTGCGCACCGCTCTGGAGGCATTCATACCAACGGTCTCCTCCATTCTCTCAGCTCATGGTACAGAGACTCGACCATCAGTCCTATCAAGCCACGCCCGCGCGTTCATTCAATTTTTCTACCTCTTTACCGCCATGTACATCCCCGATACGCCGCTCGACCCCGCCATCTCCCAGCAATGCGAGGATGCGTACTGGCTGGCCGAGAGCGACGAACTGAAGGCGCAACTCTCTTTGCACGCCGAGCTGGAGCGCCGTACAACTGGCAATGAGTCCAACGGCGTCATGGACTACCTGAAAGCTGATTTGGAGGTGACCCATCCTCATTTGCGGAAGGACGCGGCTGCCAATGTCACGCCACGCCCTATTGCTCGCCTCCGTGAATATTGGCTCGAGGTCTCGCAGTTCCTCTCGAATGTCGTGCCCGCACAGAAGATAGACCAGGTCGTCGCCCTTATGGAAATTGACGCGGCCGCGGCTCTCACTCGCGAGAACGTGATTCAGGACTCAATTCGAGGATTCATGCAGCGCATGCGCTCGGCTTATGGCGACTTTCAAGACATCGACGGCCCCCTCCAATTCGCGCTCTCACAACTCCGTTTCGGCCTTCGTTTGGCAACATCAACTGCCTCAAGCGACGACGCGTCGGACGTGTATAACCTCGCGCGCAGCCTCGTCTCTCTTCCTACCATTTCCACCGTGCAGTCTCTTGTCTCTCGCTCTGCCGCGGATGCACACATGGCGGGCGTGTCAGCTTTTGATCATCTGCTGCTCCGACTCATGGGTATCTCAGCAGAGCACGATGCAGGGGTGAACCTGCGCTCTCACACAGGCGGCTTGGATGTCATCTTTGAGCAGGCTGTACGGCTTTGGCTCATAGATCAGGTAAAGCAGGACGAGGCGGAGGCGGCTGGCCAAAGTCTATATCGCTCCAAGGTGATCGAGAGCGAAGCTGTAGACGACTCGGAGATTGAGACGCAGGAGTTCCTTGCGTTGTTCCCCGACTATGAGAACGTACTCTCCGAGGAGTCAGGTTCGGGTACGCCGACACCGGCCGATCCGATCTTCGCCTTCCATTCCGGATCCGGGCGCGTTCAAGCTCTTATGGCGGCCTACCTCGGTCTCTTCTCGGACTCGGATTCTCGCCGCATTCTGAACCCTACCGCCCAGTTCTCTCGTCTACGCCGCGACGCTATGCAGCGGCTGCTCGACACGCACGGCGATGTTCTTCCCGACATCCTCGATATCGAAGGGCACGGCTTGTCCTTGGCTGTGCTCCATGGCCGCCTGCAAAGCATCATGCATCGCGTGCAGGGCTTCGGCAAGCCATACGACTTCTACTTGGATGCCAATGTACCAGAGCTGCGTAAGGCTGCGCGGGTTGTCTGCGACATGGCTGAACGCCTACGCGTGCTCGTTGTGGAGTGGCCGGAGCAGATGGTACTTCAGCACTTGCTTGCGCGTTGCGATCAGGTTCTTCGCCTCAATATCCACAGTCCCGTTGCCAAAGTTCTTGCCGCAATCGAGCAACTCCTTGTTCAGAGTGAGGATTGGGAGATGTATGCAAATCGAGAGAACACGCTGAAGGTCCATCGCGACGCGCTTACCTCGCTGATCGTCGAGTGGCGCCGGCTTGAACTGGCATCGTGGCAGGGGCTTCTCGAGACTCAGGAAGCGACATTCAAGGACGCGGTCTCGGAATGGTGGTTCCGCATCTACAACGCCTGCGTCCGTGGGCTCTTCGACATCACCGACGGCGCGGGAGACATCGACAAATTCCTTGACGAGCTTGTCCCACTTATCGAGAGCTTTGTCACCTCCAGTCCCCTCGGTCAGTTCGAGCGTCGTCTAGACACGCTCCGCGGCTTTGGAAGATGGGTCGTGTTGCTCGCCAAGGAGAAATCTGCCGCTGAAGCTACCGCTTTGTCGAGGGTGTTCAAGATCATCGCGTCAACTACAGCATACTTTTCTCAATTCATGGCTCAGGTGGCCGCATCGCTCTCAACGCAACGTGACACTCTAGAGAAGGACATCAAGAACTTCATCAAGCTTGCGAGTTGGCGCGACGTTAATGTGCAGTCTCTCAAGGCCAGCGCGAAGCGCACCCACATCCAGCTCTACAAAAGCATCCGCAAGTTCCGCGACATCCTGCGCCAGCCAGCTCTTCCTCTCCTCCGCGCAGAGAACGCGACCGGCAGTACACTATCCGTCAAGTTTCTTGATTGTACACTGCATGTGTCAACCGGCGCCATCTTCACTGCGCCGGAGTCTGTAGAAGCATCCGCACCCGCACACCTGCAGAACCTGTCACGCACATACGACCGCTTTGACTCGCTCATCACGTCTCATGTCGACATATTCCTCGGCTCAAACCAGCACTCACCGCTTCGTGACCTCGCGCACGAGGTCATCACTACCGCTAGTGATCTTGCCAACGAGTCTTTACCCACGGATGGCCCGGCCGAGCGCCGCGAAAAGCTGGCAAAGGCGCTGCTCGTGAGAAAGCGCAAGGCGTGGAGCGACTTGCTCAAGGAGCTCAAGCGCGTCGGTATGGCATACAACGTGCAGCCGCAGACCCTTGAGCAGCAGCGCAACGCTCGTTGGCTCCGGGAGCAGCCAGTTATGCCCGACGCTGGAAACAGCATCGCCGACGTCGCACGCTCGGAGTCGTACTACATTAAGTCGCTTGGACTCCTTCCTCAGCTCCGCGCGTCACTCTCGAGCCACAGCGATGACCTCCAAACGCGTGAGCTCGTACGCGGGGTCAATCTACTCGAGTCCGGGCTTACCTTTGCGCTTGACGCTCGTTCTAAGTAAGAGCGAAGTTATTCGGGTGTTGAGTACGATTTGACGTCCACATAGGCTCGCTAATGGCCTTGAATCTTATGGCGTGCTTCTCGCGCTGGCCGACCGTCTACAAGCTCTCGACGGTACCCGGCAGATTGCAAACTCAGACGTCGACTTGCCGCAGAACCTTCGTCAACAGCAGGACAACATGGCGCGGTTGGCGCACGCTCTAGGCGAGGCTGCCGAGCTCTGCAACATGCTCGGGGACTTGCCGTCCGCCACTTCGCTCCCTGCCGATTTGCTATTAGAGCTGTCGTCTCTGCGCGCTGAGTCGCTAAACCTGCGCGACCAGTTATCTGGCTTGTGCGCGCGGATGCCGGATTCAGCGACGCCAATACTGCTACTCGGTACGTCTATCATCACATTCTCTGAACTAGATTGCTGATACTTCATAACGCAGACGAGTACGAGGTGGCTACCGCGGGCACCGACTTCATCAAGCGTGTCAACTTGCGGCTACGCGAATGGAAGGAGAAGGAGCCCCGCGTTGAGCGTATTCTCGCTCCGGTTCGCGAGTGGGCAGAGACTCTCGTTATACCACTCCCTCCCGTTCAAGCGCCGCATCCTACTCATGACAATGTCGACGCTATCATTGACTCATTGCTCGTCACCGTTCAATCTCTCATTGCCGCCGTGCCGGAGCGGAAGCAAGAGGAGGTCGAAGAAGGCGACGACGGCTATGTCAAGTCTACCACCATACTCTTCGGTCGTCTAACCAGTCTGCTGCACATCGACACCGTCTCGGAGAAGCTGGCAACTGCGTTCAATAAGCTCGCAACGTGCTCGCAGGACGACCTCACTCGCATGGTGCCGCGCGTTCTTCCATTCATTCGGCGCTACCAGCAACTCGTCCACGACCATCTTTCCGCTATGGCGGCCTGGACTGGCAGCCTGTTCAAACTCGAGTTCGTCTTATGCTCGGTCATGTTGAGCGTCGCGACGAAGGGCTTCTGCAAGCCTCCTGATCTCGATGATGCGGGTGATGAGGGCGCAGGAGGAGAAGCGATCGGCGGTACTGGGTTAGGCGAGGGAACGGGAGCGCAGGACGTGAGCAAAGAGATCGAGGATGAAAGTCAGGTGGAGGGGTTACAGGGCGAACAAGATGCGGAGCAGCAGAAGCGTGAGCAGGGGCAGGATGACGGGAAGGATGCGATTGAGATGGGAGACGACTTCGAAGGAGAGATGGAGGATGTGCCGGATGACGAAGAGGGGGATCAACAGGAGAAGGAGGATGGCGAAGAAGAGGAAGGGCCGGACGAACAGGTTGGAGATCTTGATCCGCTGGATCCATCTGCGGTTGATGAGAAATTGTGGGGCGACGAGAAGGGACCAGAAGGGAAAGATGATGGCGGGAAGACGCAGGATGACAGGTCGAAGGAGGCGGGCGCTGAGTCCGAGGTTGTTGCGAAGGAGAAAGAAGGCTCGAAGAAGGAGAAGGAGAAAGCGGAGAAGGGAGAAGACGCTCAGAAAAAGCAGAGCGAAGTACAAGAAGGTGGTCAGAAGGAGGATGAGGGTATGAACGAGGAAGGCGTTGAAGAGGGGGAAGACGAAGAGGAAGGTGAACCGCAGGGTCAAGGCGCCGCCATGGACGAGTTCATTCAAGACGCCGACACGCTCGATCTTCCGGAAGACCTGGATCTCGGTCAAGAACAAAAGAGCGAGCAAGGCGCAGACGAGGATGAACTCGACGAGCTCGACGATGACGCCGCTATGGGTGATGACACCCATGACGCCGGCGGCCGCGAGTCGGCCGAGCCTGACCCGATGGATCAAGACGGCGCTGATGGCGGTGATGTGCAGACACAGGCCGTCGAAGATGCTGCAGATGAGGTTGAGGAAGACCGGGTAGATGAAGAGAAAGGCGAGGCCACGGCCGCGCCCGATGTGCAACCTGGAGAGCAAGCGGACGCAGACGCCTCGAACCCTGACTCTATGAACGCGGAAGCTCGAGAGTCGGCGGTGCAGAACCAGTCAACGGCGACTACGGGCGGCGCTGGTCAGAGTGCCGGACAGGGCGCTGACGCCAACGACGATGAAGGGTATTATTCGTTTGTCTGTTGAATGCAGTCAGAGTACTCACATCTTCTGATAGCGCTGTCGAGGACCAAGGGCAAGCTGGCGATATCGAACAGCAACAAGACGAGGCATCTGGTCGTGGCGCGCTTAACTCGGGTCCACAGCAAGGTACTTCGACGTCTCAAGAGTCACGCTCGATGGATATGCAAAGCAACCCGCTCCGCAGCCTAGGCGACGCCATCCAAGAGATCCGCCAGCGCTTCGACGACATCTTGAATAGTGCTGCCGAGGAAGCCGCCCCTCCCAAGCTCGCGGACGTCTCGGAACCTTCTCAGCTGGAGTATCTCCGTCCGGATGACGAGGACCAGAACATGCAAGCGCTTGGTCCTGCGGGTGCGGAGGAGGCGGCAAGGTTGCAAGATCTCACGTTGATCGACGACGAGGCGGATGTTATGCAAGAAGACGTCGCACCTATGGACGTTGATGAGCCCGCTGCACCCGATACGGTTGAACCTCACCCGTCATCTGCTGCTCTACCGTCCCAGCCGACCGCGCAATCACTCCAACCCGGCGTCGAGGACGCTCTTACTCAACATCAACTTCGCACACCCGGCACCGGCACTGTACACGATGCTCCTATGGACGATGCTGTAAAGGCCGAGGAGGATGTCGAGGAACCGCTTCCCGACGAGATCGTCGAAGCCGAGCTGCGTCGCTGGAAGGAGGACGGGCAACGGGCCGAGGGTACCGAACACCTCTGGCGCCTCTACGAATCTCTCACGCATGAACTCTCGTACGCGCTTTGCGAGCAGCTTCGCCTCATTCTCGAGCCTACCCAAGCCACACGTCTGAAAGGGGATTATCGGACTGGCAAGAGACTGAACATGAAGAAGATCATCCCCTACATTGCGTCCGAATACACCAAGGACAAGATCTGGCTTCGGCGCACGCGGCCGAGTCAGCGGGAGTATCAAGTCCTCATCGCTCTCGACGACTCTCGCTCCATGTCTGAGAGCCACTCCGTTCATCTCGCGTACCAGACACTTGCACTCGTATCAAAAGCGCTTACTCGGCTGGAGGTCGGAGACGTGGGAATAGCCAAGTTCGGCGAGGCGGTTGAGGTGCTGCATGGCTTCGACGAGGGCCCGTTCACGGATCAAGCTGGCACGAAAGTGATGGGCGCATTCAACTTCAATCAGCGCGCGACGAATGTCCTGTCGCTTGTGGAGACAAGCCTGAAGATCTTGGAAGAGGCGCGAGAGAGGCGCGCGGCGAGCTCGAGCTCGGCGGCGGATCTGTGGCAGTTGGAGATCATCATCTCGGACGGTATATGCCAGGATCATGAGAAGTTAAGGACGGTGTTGCGCAAGGCGGAAGAGCAGAGGGTGATGCTTGTGTTCGTCGTCATCGACTCCTTGCAATCCAACGCGGATGCAGCCACTGGCCCGAGCGGTGGAGCGGTACACGACTCCATCGTGAGCATGAAGCATGCGTCGTATGCGATTGTGGATGGAAGGATGGAGTTACAGGTGAATAGGTACCTCGACACGTTCCCGTTCGAGTACTACGTGGTGTTGAGGAATGTGGAGGCGCTGCCGGAGGTCTTGGCGGGGACGTTGAAGCAGTTCTTTGAGCGTATCTCGGAAGACTAGAATTCTGCACTATTGTTGGTAGAGCCTGTGATTATGATTGTAGACTTCAGACTGTATTCCTGAGGCTTGATATCTCTACGACTGATTGAATGCAACTGTTAACTCTATCCTATCCCGACGCGACGCGTACTACTTCCCAGGTGACCGCGTTTGATGCGGGAGCGCCAAAATCGGCTCTCGGGCCGGGCGCGCTGCAGCTCCTAACTGAAACGCTCAAGCCGTCCAGCGCGTCTTGCGGCCTACAGCCACCACATCTCGCTTCATCATGGAGAAGGGCTATGCCACCACATCTCGGAATCGCACTCCGCCACCGCGCGACTACGAGGACGCGCTTGCTCCCGAAGAGACCAAGGGACTGTTATCGGAGTCTGACTCCCACTTCGCCGACGCGCCGAACCCGGAGGATGTGTTCGCTAGGCAGCCTAAGCGCTCGTGGAAACGAAGTCTGGGACTGGGCTCTCTGCTAGCTCTTGTACTGCTGGGAGTGTACAGCGGTGCTGTCGTATATCGGAGAAGTGAAGCGCTTACCCGGGCCAAGGCGTTGCACTTCGAGGGAGATGAGTTGAGGTCGAACGGGACGCACGAGTTCAAGAGGACGGTGCTGGTGGTGTCTATCGACGGATTGAGGTACGTATCTATAATCTGAATGGTGGACCAGGTTATAGTGCTCATACCATGTAGGGCAGACTATCTTGACCGCGGCTTCACGCCACATCTGTTGGATATCGCGAAGCAAGGCTTGAGGGCGAAGTATATGAAGCCTATCTTCCCTGTACGTACCGCCCTCAATGTCATACTTCCTATCGCTACTAATATAGCGTCTTAGACCTTAACCTTCCCGTGCGTATGAGATTCATGAGTCGCGTGAACAACGGCTGAACCCATCTGCATCGTAGTAATCATTGGGCTCTGATGTGCGTACACACACCCTTTGCATCTGACCAATTGCTCATGTGACGTAGGACTGGCCTCTACGCCGAGTCGCACGGAATTGTTGCGAACGTACGCTCTTATCCCATTGTGGCACCTATTCAAACTGACGCTCGGTGCACAGAACTTCTGGGACGCCGCAACCGACTCCGAGTTCCACTATAATCAGATTGCCTCCTGTTGGAAAGCCCACTGGTGGTACGGTGAGCCTGTAAGTCTCTGATTTCTCATCTTCACTTTGCATACGGCTCTCCGCTGACTACTTACACAGATGTGGGAGACCGTGGGTAAGCTGGGTAGGATTAATGCCAACTTGATGTGGCCCGGTCCGCCGAAGACAACATCCGGCGCTTCGCCGACTTACTTCGAGCCGTGGAGGGTACGCCGCACGTGTGCGCCCCCAACAGCAAGCACTGACGGTTGTGTCATGTTCAGGATCATGTACCGTTGCAAGAGAAACTCGATCAATTGCTCACCTGGATCGACTTGCCTCTTGAGGAGCGACCACAACTCCTGCTTGCGTATGAGCCATCGCTCGACCAAGCAGGCCACGCCACCGGACCCTACTCTGCTCGTGTCAATGTGCGTTATGTGTTTCTCTCACCTCATATTGTGCACTTGCTTACTCTTCGCATGTAGCGCACATTGCAAGAAGTCGACACCTTCGCCAAGAACCTTCATACCGGCCTCGTGCAACGCAACCTCACCTCAATCGTAGATGTCATCTTCGTCTCCGACCATGGCATGACAGACACCTCTCACCCTGAACTCGTATACATGGACGACTTTCTCGGCGCCGAAGGACTCGCCGATATCTCTCACGAAGACGGCTGGCCTTCCATGGGTCTGCACTTCAAGAAGGGCTCAAACATGACGCACTACTACAATAGGTTGTTGAGGGCCGCGGAGGAGAACGAAGGGAAGTTCGACGTGTATACGCCGGATACCATGCCCGAGAGGTACCACTTCTCGAAGAGCGCACGGATTGCACCGGTGTATGTCGTGCCGAAGATGGGCTATGTGTTGACGACGAGGGCAGAAGGAGACGTCGGTTTGACCAAAGGTGTAAGTACCGGGTTGGTACATGGTCCGAGTAAATCTCTGACGATGCTGTCTGTAGAACCATGGTTACGACAACATATACTCCGAGATGCATGCCATGTTCGTAGCGCACGGCCCGTTCTCGGCCGTCGCGAAGGCAGTACATCAATCCAAGCGCTCCATCCTCCCGTCTGCACTCGGCTCACTATGGAATAAGAACGCGGGCTGGCACTCGACGAGCGATGATACGTATGTGATGGATGGGTTTGAGAACGTCCAGGTCTATGGGTTGGTGATGAAGCTGCTGGGAATTGAGGAGCATGCGGCGAGTACTAACGGTACGAGGGGCTTCTGGGACAAGTACTTCTAGCTGCATTACTATGATGTTACCAGGACATGTAGACATACTCATACTACTCTAATATTTCCGGTGTTTCTTGAATAGCCAGTTGATCGGTTATACGATAGCTGACTGCGAGGGTACATGCCAGTGCCACTCGGAAGCCAAGCTGTGGCCCATTGCGCAGACAGCGCTTCGTACTCCAGTATTTGTGTCCGTCACGACATATCGGGAACTTTGTGCGAGCAGGCGTACGCGTAGGCTTGCAGGTACCAAGGCACAACGAGAATTAGCTCCGGCCAGCCAGCTGCGCCTCGGCGTCGGCATTCGCCGAAGAAGGCAGAAACAGCTGAACGCGCCAGAGGCGCGCAGAAGCCACACCTTGATCTTGACGCCCTTCACGACCCCACGTCAACCGGAGCATCGAGTGTACTCCTTCCCATATCCGGGCCCTGATGCGCTCGAAGGCTTCCCTGCTACCTGTCGCACTCCTGCTCGGCTTAGCCGCGGCGCGCGATCCGACACACCACCATGGCCCGTTAACATGGATGCGCAAGGCGTCCTCGGCGCTCCAGACGGGAATCACCGAACAAGCCTGGCTCTGGGGATGGGCATGGGGGCCTGATTCGACTGTAGCGATAGTCGACCGCTCGCCGCCTGTCACGTTCCTCTCGCGCCCCGCAGGGTTCGGTGCGGAGCTCACGGATCCATTGCTGGGATATGTCATACCCTTGAACGCCTTCACCGTCGCCTGCTCCGAAGTCAGCGCGGACACGAAGCTTAATCGCTCGGCGAATATCGGATGCCCCCCGCTTTGTGTTGTTGGGGAGAATGTACCGGGCGAGGACGAGCCCTGGATCGCTTTGGTGCAGAGAGGGGACTGTCAGTTTGTCGACAAAGCTCGCGAGGCGCAACGCCTCGGTGCGAAGGGAGTAGTCGTCGGCGGAGACGATCCGGAATTACACGGAAACCCAGACGTACTCGTGAACATGTACAGTCCTGGTAAGTCTTGCGGAAGCTCAGAAGGCGGGCATGTTGCTGATTGAGTTTGGCAGGTGATGCGTCGGACATCTCCATCGCTGCGACATTTATTCGGTTCTCAGATTATATGCAGTTATACTCCCTCATCCTCTCCTCGAATACCTCGCACTCGGGCCTCAAGACGCTTTCGCTGCTTATAAGCTCCGAGTATTCTTCCTGGCAATGGTACTCGTAAGTGCAACTCATGAGCCTATCAGATGACCATGAATGATTGGCATTCCTTTACAGGCCGATTGTTACCTTCATCACCATCCTCTTTATCCCCTCCTCCTTGACCTTCCTCACGCTCATAGTGCACCGTATACGCGCCGCACGAGCAGCACAACGGGATCGTGCACCGGCAGATGTTGTACGTGGTCTACCTTGGCGCGTGTGGACTGGCTCAGGCTGGGAGAAACACGACGGCGAACCGGTCGGCGCAGGACATGTCGATCTTGAGCGAGGAGAGTGCTCAGCACATGCCAGTGAGGACGCGGACCCTGCATGGTTCGCTTCGCAGGTTGAATGCATCATCTGTCTCGAGAACTTTGCGAAGGGAGATCGTGTGAGGGTGCTGCCCTGTAAACATATCTTCCATCTCGAGGAGATCGACGAGTGGTTGATGACGCGGAAGAAGCTGGTGAGTCTCTTGATCATAGCGTTGTATGTGGCTCCGTACTCATGAGCCTGTGTTTCAGTGCCCTGTGTGTAAGGCCGACGTGACAGTTCACAGATCGCCCCACGCCGCTTCTGAACTTTCACATACTCAGTCTGTCGTAGAAGCACCTACTGCTGACCTTGCTTCGGAACATGCGGTTGATGAACGGACGCCTCTCCTTCGTTCGAGTTCGCCGTCTTCGTAGCATGGTTCATTCCCTCTGCGATGTACTATCACGATGTATATTACCAATCTTCGGAAACTATGTATCACCAACCCAGCCTTCTACTCACTCGGCCCGACGCCTCTAAGTTCTACCTATGCATACGTGTGCGATTATTCAGAGGCCTCTTTCCCCATTGCGTAGCAGTTAGCGGTCGTCAGGCTTTCTTCCGGCGCTGAGACGCGACCTCGGACTACATGAGTACCCGAACCTGACATGATGTACCGGATCAGCCGCTGTATTCACCGAGAGCGACTTGGCAAGTAAGTATGCGAGGGGGTTGAGCTGAGTCTGACGGTGACCTGCGCAGGCGCCGCCACGCGACGAGCGCTATGCACGGCCCCATCATTCCGAGCCTTGCGCTTCGCAGATTTGCAGCAAACCATCATCACGACAAAGACCCTCAGAACTTCTGTATCACAGCCTCTCCGCTAGATCCTGCAACCGGTTACTGATTTGCAATGAGAATACAGAGACACCGGAAATAGAGTACCGACCCAGACCCATATGTATCTGGCGGTTCTGTCTTCTGCCAGAGCCGATGTCGGTGCCAGGTTACTCGTGTGATCTGACGTATGCACGGAGTCTATGTCGCGACTTCTTTCCTTCGCCCGTAGAAGTCGAACATACCATGGACGCTGTACGAAGCAGCTTTGGCGCGTCATGAAGCGTGTTCTCAGCAGGCCCTTTTTTGGTCATGGATCTGCAAAGCTCGAGCTTAACCTCTGGATGGCTGTTCGACATTGACTGTTGCTGGCTACCGTGGCCCTGCAACGCTCGGCCTTTCAAAGTGGATATCGGCAGCCGCTACGGTTGAAACCCAAACTGGGGTTGATGCATCATCAAACGCAGCCACCTACGCGCACGGTCATATAAATCCAGCTGTATTTAGTGAGCGGCGACCTCAGAGCTGAATTGCTTCACCCTCACGGTCTTCTCCTTCCAACGCCAACGCCTGCTTCGAACGCTATGATCGTCTCACCCGTTGCCGTTCTGGCCGCGGGTCTCTTCGCGAAAGTAGCCGCCGCTGCTTCGCTCTGCCGCAACCAGCCAGGAGATCCTGACTACCCTACGGACGACGACTGGACTCAGCTGAACAGCACTGTGGACGGCCGTCTCGTTGCGGCCGTTCCCACCGCCAAATGGTGTGCAGATGTGGGCTGTAGCCAGACTGAATGGGAGAGCTCCAATCTTCGCGCGACGTTGCCAGGATCTACCGTCGTGGTATGTGTCCTATCTTGATCTCGGGTTAAAGCCGGACTTCTGACTGATCATCGTTTGACAGAACAACTGGGAGCAAGACTACGGCACCGGAACCGGGAACGACTCGTCGTTGTGTCTGTTGAATGCTACGTCGAGTTGCGGTCAAGGAAATGTCGTGCTCTACGCAATTAACGCGACGCAGCCTGAACATCTTCAGGTAAGCCCCTATTTCTCCAACTGTGCTGCTGATTGACGTACAGCTAACTTGTGAACCTTAGGCCGGCGTGCGCTTTGCATCGCAGCACAACATTCGCGTGGTCATGCGCGCTTCAGGACACGACTATCTCGGGCGCTCAACGGCCAAGAATGCCCTTCTGCTTTGGACGCACTACTTCCAGAACATCTCCTTCACGGACAACTTCATCGTCGACGGAAAGAGCGCTGGCCCCGCTGTCACAGTGGGAAGCGGTGTTGGCCTGGAGTCCTATTACGCGGCAGCATCTGCTCAAGGACGAGCTGTCCTCGGAGGGTCTGCGGGAACTGTCGCGCCAGCAGGAGGATGGGGTCAGGGCGCAGGGCATTCTGTCTACTCTCCGATATTTGGCCTTGGCGCTGATAACGCGCTCGGTATGTCTATCGAGTACCTCCGCCTGAGTGTGGTGACTCACATGTATCCAGAGTACAACATCGTTACGGCGAACGGCACGCTTGTCACAGCAAACGAAGTATCACACCCTGACCGTAAGTCTGTAATCAATCCATAGCGGCATCCTGACTCACGGCTGTAGTGTTCTGGGCTGTCCGTGGCGGCGGAGGTGGCAGCTGGGGCGTCATCGTTAATGCAACGTTCCCCACCTTCCCACTGTTCAACTCGACTATTCATCAGGTAGCCCTTTATACCGCATAGCTTCCCACTCTTCGCTCACTTCGCCATAGGTGACCCTCATTGCCAACTCGACCGAGCTGTCCGGCAGCATGATGGCCACGCACGCTCGGCATATATTCGATTGGGACGATATTCGGGCAGGTGCATACTTCTACATGGAGGCCTCGGAATTCGGTTCGCTGGTGTCGCTGTCTACCGTCTTTGCCAACATCAGTGGTGAAGAGGCTATATCTCGCATGGCACCTCTCTTGACCGATCTGCGTGCGCTGGGTGTGAACGTCTCGAACGACATCACTGTCACGGGCGACGCAAACGTTATCGTTCGGAATGCTGATTGGGCTATTGAAGAGGTGTGCCTTTCTTCCGTTGTTCTTTCATTATGGGACCGCGAGTGCTCAACCTTGGTTTTAGACCGTTCTGAACATGACCACTGCAGATGCTCCCACGACTATCATCCCATTCCGTGATGATATCGCTGGGTGCGTTGAGGTCTACCCTATCTTATGCATCCACTGACGCTTTGATAGCTTCAATCTAGTGATGAGCTCTCGTTTCATCCCCGAGGACGTGTACAGGAACGATCCCGACAGCATCGGTGACATGTACACCAAGGTGCTTGACTTGGGCATAGGAGCGTGCGTGTATCTCGCTATGTATATGTGTGTCCCCACTTCTCTGACTGTATCCCATAGAGTATCTGGCCATCTTGTTGCAGGTGGAAAGGTAGCTGAGAACGCTGGCGTCAACAACTCTGTCAACCCACGCTGGCGCACGGCCAAGACTCATGTACGTCCTTCCCATTCCTCTATCTTACTACGCTGACCCTCGTATAGATCATCCTGAGCTACAGCTGGGAGGATGGCACCACTCCCCCTTCGGTGGTGCAGGAAATCCGTCACAACTTGACCTACGTCGCGACGCCGATACTCTCCGCGATTACGAAGCAGGACACTCCCGGATCCTACTCTAGTGAGGGAGATGTCCTGGAGCCCGACTTCAAGAACGTGTTCTACGGCGAAAACTATGCGCGGCTCTCTGAAATCAAGTCGGCATACGACCCGGAGGATCTGTTCATCGTGGGTGCAGGCGTGCATAGTGACCTTTGGTCTGCGGATGGGAACTGCCGGGTGAACGCCACGAGCGTGTAGATGTGGCTCTCAAGGACGCTTCCCCCCTGCGAATTCATATCTATTTCCTCTCTCTAGATCATACTCTCTCTTTATTTCTTCTGTTACATATGAAACAGCTGCTATTCACAATATCTACTGATTTGGTTATATATATCCTCCGTCATACATAACAGGTGTTCCCCTTCTCGTTGATACATCCATTCAGAGTCCTGTAGAAGCTCCTGGCTCATGGAGGACTCCGTATCCCCTATTTCATTCAGCGGCAGGCGCGGGCGACAGAGAAACCCAAGGTTGAGGGAGAGATGTCAACATGTCAACTCATATACATATTCTGCGGGTTTCGGACCGGATCCTTCCTTGGTCCGCAGTCATCGACGTCGTCGTCACCTTGACTTAGCCGTCCATGTATGGTAATCAGGCCACATCTCTCGCAACAAAGGGTTGGATTACCGAGTAAGCGACAAGAACGGTGCTGGCCGATACCTTCGGACTGAGGCCTGGGGTGGAATCCTCCTGCTTCATTAATGCGTCATCGCACCATCGGACTAGCGCATGGATAGTGAATAGCCGATATGCGTTTGCGTTTGCGTTTGCATTACAAGAAGCCTCTACAACGGTGATGCAAGCTTACCCGCGCTGTACGATCTTGCTTCCTGTAGGGTTGCCGGGGTGATGTTGATGCTGCTTACCACTTGGCGCTTCGCCGGCCACCGACCGATGGCGACCTTCGTGTCCCTCGCCACATGCGTTCTCCGAGCACCGACAAGCAGTTCACAGCGAGAAGTGACGACAGTTGCTTCACACTCAAGGGCATTCTCATCGAGCAGTCCGAGGGTGCGGTGGGTATATCATATATAAGGATGTTGATAGCAACCCGGTCTGACTTCTCTCCTTATTCAACCCAAGTTCACGCCAGCCAACCAGATCATTCACCTCTGCATCCACCTGCTTCGCCATGTCGCTCAATGGAAAGGTTGCCGTTGTTACCGGAAGGTATGCAGCACATACATGTAGCTGATAGGCGGTTTCCCTGATATCCGGTACAGTTCGCGTTCCATAGGCGCTGCGATTGCCAAGCAGCTTGCTGCTGACGGAGCCTCAGTCATCGTCAACTATGTTTCCGATGCTGCTGCCGCTGAGGGAGTAGTATCGGACATCAAGGCAAGCGGGAGTGGCGCTGCCGCTGCGGTGAAGGCGGATGTTTCCTCTTTGGGCGGCGCAAAGACTCTACTTGACGAGTCTCTCCGCATCTTCGGCAAGGTCTGCATTCCGGACATGTGCATGCTGCTTCCGCTCACAGCATCCCGCTAGATTGATATTCTCGTTCTGAACGCCGGTATCATGGGATCCCGAGTCCTCGCGCAAGTCGACGAAGAATTCTACGACCAGCACATGAACATCAACGTACGGGGACCCCTTTTTCTGACGCAGCTCGCGGCGCCGCTCCTCCCGGAAGGTTCGTAGTCTACACTCTCGCGGGATGTTCACTTATTGACCGGTGTCTCCGCACATGCAGGCAGCGGTCGCATCATATTCTTTTCAACTTCCCTCGCCCATGCATCTGCCGTCATGCCAATTAACCTCGTATACGTGGCGACCAAGGGAGCTGTCGAGCAACTCGCCCGCGTCCTTGCCAAAGATCTAGGCAAGTTGTACTTTCAGCCGATATGCTACCCAACGACTCACACCGTCACAGGGAGCAAGGGAATCACAGTCAACACCGTGTCTCCAGGCCCGACGGACACGGCCTTGTTCCGCGCCGGAAAGACCGAACAACAAATCCAGTTTATCGCGGGACTCGCCCCATCGAAACGCTTGGGCCAGCCCGACGACGTTAGTCCTGTCGTATCTTTCCTCGCGTCTGATGGCGCTCGCTGGGTAAACGGTCAGAACATTCTGGTCAATGGCGTAAGGACTTCTCGCCCTTTTGATTAGGTGATAGACTAATGAAATGATGCCACGCAGGGGTTTGTTGTCTAGACTGGATATGATTGGCATACGAAAAAGATGATGGTTAGCGTGTTCGTGTTTAGCCACTGTAAATTGTAGAAATCCAATGATGACTGTATCTGCTTCAAACGCAGAATGGAAGTGTGAAAAAAATGATTTCTGCGAGTCGCATGCCTTATAATGAGCCGAGCTGAGCCAGAGGGGATCGTGGGGAGCCAGAGGGGATCGTGGGAAATGTCCAGTCTCGTGACCGCGTTGTTCGCCTGTTTATTGCGTTCGCGCTGCGATGTTCGCCCCGCCATCAGAGATCCTTCCAGCGCGAACCTCCTCGACACCCGACAGCAGTCATGACCCAGAAAGTCTCATGTCACACCCCGAATCGAGCAACTATGAACGCCACCGTTACAAACACAGGATCTTGACCCCAGCCACCGTAGTCATTGATGCGGTGTCCTCTTTTGGCGCGAAAACGTAGAAGACCGAATAGGTGCGTATACGTTATGTGCCACATAGAACTCCGCGCAGGTGCGATGGGAAGTCCGTCATTTCGCACTCCAACTACCTGCGTTCGAATACCTTAGCTGGGAGAGTAATGGCCAGCTTCTGTATGCCTGCGAAAACCTGACACATTTGGTTAACGAGGACATCGACTGGCTTCGTAGCTCATTGACAAAGGGCGTTTCCCTCTTGTTTAGTAGCAGGATCTGAGCCTTACCTCTTCTCGGGACGCGCTATCTTTCCGAGACTGCGATTCGCACGCGTTGGATCCGAAGGAGCCGCTCCCGGTCAATGATGCCCTTCGGCTTTTCGTGATCTTGCATGCCACTGTTTCACGCCGAATACGATGAGTCCTGATAAACGCACTACAGGAATCGTGAAGAATCGCTTGCACGATCCTGAGCCCACCCTCCCAACGTAGCGCAATCTACGAATATGCCGTCCTGCATAGAAGTTACCATCTTCGCCGGTCAAGGCACCGGACACCAGAACTCTGAGCTCGCCTGCAAACAAGCCCTTGCCTGTGTCAAGGAACCTGCTGGTGCACTCCTACTCGCCTACCTCTTCGACACCTTCCGAGCCGAGCTGGCCTCTCTCAAGGAAACTGAGCTCGACTACGCAGACATCGACGTCGGGCGCTTCGATCGTCCAGAGACGCTTCTTGGACTCCAGGACGAGTCCCCGTCCTGCAACCCCATCATCACCGGGACGCGCTTGCTAGCCCAGCAAGTTATAACCTACCTTGTTACGTGCTTCCTCCCGTCAACATCTTCGCCTTCTTCAACGCACGCTCCCGCGAACGTCGCTGTTGGCTTCTCCTCAGGCATCTTAGCTGCCTACGTCGCTGCCACCTCTGCCACCACACCGGAGTACATCAACAACGCCGTGTCCGCCTTTCGTTTAGCATTTTGGGTCGGTGTGCGTGCTCAGTCCGCCAGGCGCGAGATGTTAGAGAGCGCTGGTGTGTCCAAGGACGACGCCCGCCCTTGGGCTCTTGTATTCTCTGGATGGTCCAAGAAGGAGGACGCATACTCTTTCGTCGATCAGTACAATCTTCAGGTAAGTCTCCCTGTTTTCATCATGCAGGACCTTTCTTAATACCATCATAGGCCACTTCCTCAGCTCAGGTCTACGTGACAGCGGTGATAGATTCGTCCTCTGTGACTATCTCAGGACGAGGTGATATCCTGGCAACTTTCGCAACGCAAGCGCCGGCCGGAATCACGGTGCATAAGACCTCCATGGATGCCCTGTACCATGTTCCGGTTCTGGCCGATGTGAAAACCCGTGTCCTTGCAGACGTGGCACGCCGTGAAGTGCGCCTCTCCGATTTCGGCGACCTCAAGTTCCCGATCGCCTGTACGGCGACTGGTGAACGTCTGAGTGTCAACAGCGGTCAAGGGCGGAGGCTCGTCGACACCCTTGTCGACTTGATTCTGATCCAACCTGTCAACTGGGACAGAGTCGTGCAGTCTCTGGCCGGCGAGACACAGGATGCTCGTCTTCGCTTGGTTAACATTGGTCCAGGCGCCAGCCTCACGAAAAGGGCCACGCGCGGTCTTCCTCGGGATAGTTTTGACATCGTCGATATGTCTACTCCACGTACTGCGTCTCCTGCGGCTCCTCGTCAAGAACCTATCGCTGTTGTTGGCATGGCGGTGGATATGCCTGGGTCTCCCAGCACGACGCAGCTTTGGAAGGTACTATTTCGTTGCTTCTTATAGAGGATAGTGGCTTACAACGTGACCCAGGTACTGGAGCAGGGTATCAACACCATCTCAGAGGTCGGCGTCGTCGGACTCTGTACGTAGTGTTATCTGACCTTATCATTGCAGATCCCCAGTCACCGCTTCAAGGTATCCGATTACAACGAGTCGTCCACAGGCAATGCCAAACGAACGATGAAGGCGCACACCGGAAACTTCCTTGACGCACCGGACGGCTTTGACGCCCAATTCTTCATGATATCCCCACGCGAGGCTCGCAGCATGGATCCGCAGGCCCGCGTTCTGCTGCATACCGCGTACGAAGCCTTGGAGGACGCCGGCTACGTGCCGGACGCAACGCCTTCGTTCTCACGCGAAACCTTTGGATGCTACGTTGGTGTCGCGACCGGCGATTACATTCAGAACCTGAGGAAGGATATCGATGTGTACTACAGTACCGGTGCGTGCCACTATTCACCTCCGCTCACGCCTCGACTGATAATCGTATAGGCACATTGCGTGCGTTCCTTTCTGGGCGTATATCGTACGTCTTCAAATGGGGTGGTCCCTCGGTCGTCATCGACACTGCCTGCTCCGGTTCCATGGTGTCGATCTACCAGGCATGTCGCGCCCTCACCAACCGCGACTGCAACGCTGCACTCGCCGGCGGGGTGAATGTTGTGACCAGTCCGGACGTGAGTCACAATGACATTCCCCTTCGTAGTGTTTGAGCTCAGATCACCTTAGATGTTCCTTGGACTGGACCGTGGGCACTTCCTCAGTCCGACCGGGCAGTGTAAGGCTTTTGATGCCTCTGCGGACGGCTACTCTCGTAGCGAAGGCTGCGGTGTCTTCGTACTCAAGCGCCTCTCCGATGCCTTGGCAGAGAACGACAACATTCTCGGGGTCATTCGAGGAATAGAAGTCAACCAGAGCGGTCTCTCCCATTCCATCACGCACCCGCATGCACCGACACAGGCGAAGCTATTCAAGCAGCTACTGGATAGGACGGGAGTCCATGCACACCGCGTCAGCGTTGTGGAAGCGCATGGGACAGGCACTCAGGCGGGCGACCCCAACGAGCTTGAGAGCATCCGCGGCGTCTTTTGCGCTGGCCGCACGGCGGACAACCCCCTCCACGTTACTTCTATCAAGGCTAACATTGGCCATCTTGAAGCTGCATCTGGAGCCGCCGGGCTTGCAAAGTTGCTTCTCATGCTCCAGCATCGGACTATCCCACGTGTCATCTCCTTGAACAACCTGAATCCTCGCATCAAAAATCTTGAGGCCGATCACACAATCATCGACCGCGAGCAGATACACTGGCGACCTACTCGCGAGGGCGAGACGAGGATGGCGCTGTTGAACAACTTCGGTGCGGCGGGTTCCAATGGCGCTCTACTGCTCGAGGAGCATGTATCCCGACGGTCCCCTCTTACGGCGAGCTTCGTCTTCGGGATTTCCGCCAAGACATCCGACGCGCTCATTCGCCTTCGTGACACGTACGTGGATTGGCTTTGCCATCCGGACCAGCAGGATACACCCCTGGCTGATATTGCCTACACCGCAACGGCACGGCGCATCCTATACGACCACCGCATCGCGGTGACCGCATCATCCAAGGAGGAGCTCGTCGAAAAGCTCAAGGCCTCTACTCCGGTGTTATCCAACGCCGCTCCCGGCAAGGTCGCGTTTGTGTTCTCGGGTCAAGGCAGCCAATATCGCGGGATGGGCACCACGCTCTATCAGACTTCTCCGCTTTGCCGCGAGATCTTCGATGATTGCCATTCTCTCCTTGTCAGTGCCGGCTTGCCTGGAGTTCTCCAGGTTCTATGCCCAGGAGAGATTTCCGGCGACCTCTCGCGAGAGGAAGAGTTCGAGGCTAATCAACCTGCTATCTTCGTCTTGGAGTATGCTCTGGCGCGTCTTTGGATGTCATGGGGCGTCCAACCCGGCGTAGTTGTCGGCCACAGGTACGTTAGTCTCCCTTCTATGCGCTTCTCTTATACTCACGAGTTCCAGTCTGGGCGAGTATGCTGCTCATGTCGTGGCGGGCGTGCTTTCCCTCAAGGACGCGCTCATGCTTGTCGCTCGCAGGGCGCGGCTGATGCTCTCCCTCTGTGTCGCCGACGATACGTCCATGCTCGCGGTCAACCTCAGCCAATCTGAGCTCGAGAAGACCCTCGCATCGTCTCCCAAGTTCGCCGGCGTGTCTATCGCTTGCTATAACAGCCCCTCTGACCTGGTTGTTGCGGGCCCTCTCGATGCTCTCCGTGCGCTCAAGACGTACATCACCGAGAATGTGAAGGCCAAGTCCGTCCTGCTCTCCGTGCCTTATGGGTACCATAGCCGAGCCATGGATCCCATCCTCTCCGAGCTCGCGTCCATCAGCAAGCGCGTCGATATTCAACCTCCGAAGATCGCCGTGGTCTCCAATGTCCTTGGAGAAGTTGTCATGCCAGGCGTAGAGGGTGTGTTCTCGCCAGAGTATTACACGCAGCACTGCTCGCAGCCAGTGCAGTTCGAGAAAGGCGTCAAAGCGTTAAGCTTCTCCCCCGACTTCCAGGACCTTTCCGCCTTTGTTGAGATCGGCCCGCACCCGACGACGCTGCCAATGCTCAAGGCCCATCCTCTTGTGCGCGGCGACATCGCCCTCGTTCCCTCGTTACGAAAGAACCATGAGGCTTGGGCGACGCTGTCCTCTACCCTGGCCCAATTCTATTCGACCACGTGTCCCATTCGCTGGCGCGATGTCTTTGCGCATGCCAGTGCGTCTGTGACACATTTGCCCACATACCCTTGGTCGAAGGCGAAATTTTGGGTTGCCTTTGAGGAGGATAGTCATGGCGCGTCATCGGATCCAGAGAGTCAACGCGCGAACTCGGTCGACATCGATCTTGTAGACGACTTCTCTATGCTTCATCGGTGGATGCAGGCGCCCGCCCTTGGCAACGATCCAACCGCCGTCATCGCGACGCCGATCTCCCTCCTTGCATCTGCGATCACTGGCCACCGTGTGGGAGGCGCGGCCTTGTGTCCTGCCTCCGTCTATCACGAACTAGCGCTTGCTGGGATCGTGGCTGTCTCCAAGCGACTGGGCCTCTCCTTTGACGAATCGCACGTCATCTTGCGCGAAGTTGAATACACGAAGCCGCTCGTCTACGCAGCCGACGTCCAGCGCACCGTTTTCACGTCGATCACTGCGATGCCCGACGGGTCTGGTTCTTGGCGTGTGAGCTCACGTAGCGGTGACGGATCCGAAGTCTGTCACTCGCTCGGCGCTTTCGAACGTCGTGCGAGCACGAAGACGAGTGGCAAGTTTGCGCGTCTCGCACCCGTCCTGTCTCGTCAAATCGCTGCTGTCGAGGCGTCGCTTGACGCGGAGACGTTCTCCACGCGTACCGCATACGAGGTTATCTTCCCTCGCGTGGTGGACTACAGCAAGGAGTACCACACTTTACGCTCTCTGCGCGTCAGCTCGGATGGCATGGAGGGTTACGCCGTCGTGCAGCTGCCTCGCAGTCACGAGCGAGGTGGTTTTGTTGTGCACCCGGTGTTCATGGACACGCTCCTGCATATTCCGGGCTTTGCGGCGAACCTGCAAGGCGGTGTCGCTGACGCCTTCATCTGCCACCAGGTTGAGAAGATTACGGTGCTACCTGATCTCGTTGACACTGATGCGCTCTATGGTGTATACTTCCGCAACGTCTGGCTTCCTGAGGAGAAGACCACGCTCGCCGAGGCATTTGTGGTCGAACTCGCAGGCGAGCGTCGCATCGTGGGCCACCTCAAGGGCATGCATTTCCGACGCGTCCGACTTGCTGGGCTGAAGCGCAGCCTTGCCCTGGCTGCTGGTGAATCGAGCTCACCAGCACCGCCGTACTCGCCGCCTCGTCCCCGTCAGATCGCCCCAACGTTGTCGCAAGTCCTCACATCCAGTCGAGCTTCGATCGACGTCGAGGCCATTGTCAAACAGGTCGTCGCGCAGACGTGTGATATTGCGAACGTCGACACTCGCGCTGATCTCAGCAGCTACGGTATAGACTCGCTGATGTCTATCGAGATGTTGCACAAGCTTCAGGACGCCCTGCCAGACGCCGCGCTTGACACCGACACGCTTGCAGCCTGTACGACAGTTGCTCAGATCGTGCAAGAGGTTACATCCAGGCTATCTTCACCGGAATCGCCCGCATCGCCCGTCACGCCGCCTTCTATGAGCTCAGAGACCACGAAAGCCGAATCGCAAGTAGAACTGGGTTCCGCATACGTGAGAAGCGTACTCGCGACAGCTCTTGGCATCTCCACGACGGATCTCAGCGACGACACGAGCCTGGATGCGCTAGGATTGGATAGCTTGACGACTATCGAGGTCATGGCGACGCTGCAAAAGTCCCTGGCCGTCGCATTGCCCGAATCCCTCTTTGACTCCGCCACAACCGTCAAGGACGCGCTCAACGCTGTTGCCCACGCGATGCCCGATGCTACCAAGTCTGTCCAGCATGTGAAGATCCTGCCTGCCGCGTCACCAATGACAGCCACCGTCGACGTCGTCTCGCCCGCGTCGCAACCGCGGTTAGAAAGGTTGTTACGCCTGAACGAGATACCCGTTCCGGTACAGGCTGGTTCAGGGATGCCGCTCTTTCTCGTACACGACGGAAGCGGCATAGTCAACTACCTGGAACGCGTTACGCCACTTGGACGTCCGCTTTGGGGCTTCAATAATCCTCACTTCCTTGATGGTCAGCCGTGGCTCTCGTTGGAGGCGATGGCGGGCTCGTATGCGGAGCATGCGCTGAAGGTCAGCGGCGGAAGCGGGAACTTCATACTCGGTGGTTCGTTCTTTGTGATATCCTGCCAGTCATTGCAATAATGCTGACGTAATACACTTAGGGTGGTCGTTTGGCGGTGTTGTGGCCTTTGAGGCGGCGCGTCAACTTCGCGCGCGCGGCTCCCCAGTGCGCGGCGTACTCCTGATCGATTCTCCCGCTCCACGTGCGCACATACCTCTGAGCGACGCGCTCATCGCGGCTGTCACCGCCGCTGCCGGTCGCTCGTCCTCTAGTGACCTTTCTCGGCTCGTGGCCACTCAATTCGCTTCGAACTCCCGTTTACTCGGCGCATACGCCTCGACTGCCTTGGACGGTCCCTTCGAAGAGCGCGTCGTACTGCTTCGCAGCAGTGAGGGGTATAAGCTCGCGGGTGGGAACGTGCCAGTCCCGAGTTGGCTGTCGGATCGCGAAGATGCCAACGTCGGTGTGAAGGGCTGGGAGGACATGCTTGGGCGCAAGATCAAGGTGTTGCCCATACCTGGAAACCACTTTGAAGTCTTTGCCCCTCAGAACGTGAGTTCTCATCATTGTCAGATGCATGCAGCTGTAACTGATATGCTCCAGGCTGCGCAGGTTTCGAAGGCTATTGCGGAGGCGGCGCGTTACCTCGAAGAGCAGATGTAGGGGACGGCACTAGAAGTTCGTATATTGTGTATGGTGTGGGTTTGGCTTGGATGAGGGTTTTGCTTACTGGACTCTGTACTTCTAGAATGCATATATGTCTGTATCGATATCATGTTGTTTTGTTTCTTGTACCCACATACAAGTTGATTGTGGTTTGACATGGCCTCTCGGTCTGAATGCGTGTGTTAAGAACATGCGCCGTTAGGGACATCGGTCCGATCGGCCCGACGCCGAGGTGTGCTGAGACTCTCGTTCGACTCTCCTACGCGGCAAAAGTATCGGTCCGTGATTTTCGACGATTCAGAGCCAGAACAGTGTCGCAGTAGAGCTTCGAGCGGTGTCTTAAGATAAGATTACACCATACCATCTATGTCTGTGACAGGAACCAGCCACGATCTCCAGAGAGCTATCGCGAATACCTATGATCATGTGGATGATACATGGATGCATATATACGTAGTTCTATGTCCGGCTGGTGGCGTCTACCATACAGCACTTCAAACTATCACTTGTGTTTTGGTCGGAATAGGAGAGGCTCGTAAAGTGGCGTCACCACCGAGCGCATGATTAATATGATGTTATAGTCAAATATAAGGGTTGTACGCCAGTCTATGATAAAGAAGAAGCAAATAATGAACGTGAAATCGGTCTAGTAATCATGCCGTGCCCGTTTGCTCCTGAGCCGTATGAGTTCACCATACTTGTAGAGAGCGATTGGTATGGGAACGAACGCGGTGGCGAGCAAGCCGAGAAGCGTGCTAGCCCAAGGAACACCAAGGTTGTGGTACATGGCTCCAGCAAAAAGCGGGAAGGCGGCGCCGAACAATGAACGCATGAGATCGTTGCCGGCGAGTACAGTCGCCGCGTATTTCGGATACGCGTCAGCCAGATAGTTGAGCACGGTATTCTGCACGCAAGTGGTCAGTTGGCGGTGCGCGACAAATAGAAGACGGTGACCTACGAAGAGCAAGATGGCTGCCAGCGAGAACCAGCTCGAGCTAATGATGGGGACAATCCAGTGGACGGACTTCCGTGACGTCCAGCCGAACGCGAACATACAGAGGGGCACTATCACCGCTCCAACGATGGCAGCTGGCATACGCGTTTCAGGCTTGAGGTCTCCCTCGTCGTACAACGGCTCCTAGATTGAGATGTCAGCCTTTGTCCGTGTGCTCATATTCGCTTTTCGTTACCTGGTAGTAGTAATACCAGTAATAAAACGGCGGAATGACCGCAAAGCATCCAACGAATATACCCAGGAATGCGAGGCCGACGAGCTGCGGCTCCCAGCCGTATATCTCACCGAACACGATGGGAAAGCTCTCGAACCACATATAGAGCATGGCGTAGAGGAGCGAGATGTACACATTCAGTGCGAGCACAATGGGCTCCTGAAAGTTCAACGAGAACGGCCGCACGAGTATATCCAAAGCCAAATCGCGCGAGGATAGATGCGCGGCATCGAGTTCTGCTTGCGCGCGTAGTGCGGTGTTGCCTGTAGAGCGACGTAGACGCGCTGCTCGTCGGTGCAGGATGTTTGCCGCCGAGGTCTCGGGGTAGGAGAAGAACAAGACAAGCAAGATGAAACAAGAAAGCCATTCTAATTCCCAAATAGTCCATCGCCATCCTTTGAAGGTCCCAGCAAAGTCGCCCAAGAGCGGACCCATAGCTGGAGCACACGTCGCTGACATGCTCCAAAGAGTGATGCCGTACGCTCGTTTGCGTGGAATGTACATGTCGGCGATCGTAGCGCCACCGGTGGCGAGGATTGGCGAGCCAACGAATCCAGTGAGGAAGCGGAAGACGAGGAGCATGCCGAAGTTCGTCGCCAGTGCAGTCGGAATATTCAGTATGATGAAGAGTATGAGCGTGATGATATAGATGGGCATACGGCCGATCTGTGGTATCTCGCTGAAGCCAAGGGTATCAATACGGATGTAGGTGCCCATGAGAGAATATACATTGCTGACCTTATCGGAGACAGGAACATAGGTCCTATGCCATATCCGATCACGAACGTCGTCAGGCCTAGTGTGGCGGCCACCTCGCTGACATGAAACTCCTCCGACACGGATAGAATACCACCGGTGTACTATTACCCACGTGCATTAGTCAACCTCTTCTCCGCGCCTGAATGTCAGCTTGAACTCACGATAGACGATCCTAGATACATAGTGAACGTCCACAAGCACGTTTGAAGTAGCACCCAGGCTTTGCGACCGGTGGACCAGTTTAGCGGATTCTAGTTCATGCAGTCAGTTCGAGATAGCATGGACGACAACTCGCTGTTACCTCGGGATCATTGGGTCCGTCCCAGTCCACCAAAATATACCGCTGCGTCTGAGCTTTCTCGCGTTCAACCTCGCCCTCAGACTGCGGGAAACGAGAGACGCTCGATTGCGGGCTGTGAGCACTGGCCCGCTCGACCGCGTCCGGCGAGTACACTCGCGGCTCTTGCGGAAGTCTCTCTGCAATGCTGCTACTCCTCGATTCGGAGGATAACCGGACCTGAACTACCTCCGTCGCGCTGATTGGGCTCGTAGCGCCCATTCCTGACATGCGGCGAAGGTCGACGGTCGGCGAAGTATGGCCCAGGGTCTCGCGCGACCTCCTTGCGTCCAACGGGTTGTCATAACTGCCTTGCACCAGTGCGCTGCCTTGCATGCAGATTAGTAACGCGGGAAGTCTTAAGCCATGGATTGACATACCGATTGGCTTCATGCGGAGCGTTGCCGTCTTGAGGTCCTCGCCGAAAGCATCGGCAGCCCCAGGTTCACTCGAGGCGGCAAGAGCTGCCATAGTTTCGTCTATCGCAAGACGCCAAGCATCGGGATCGCGCTCCTCAGGGTGCGGTAAAAGACGTGGACCGAACAACAAGCGCAGTGCGTAAGCACAGAATGTGTCGTGAAATAGACTGGGATTCGGCATGGAGTGCAATCCGGGAGATAGCTAGTGAACAGTGCGGACGGCCATTTAAATAGCCTTATAAGCTACGAGGCGCCCACAGTGGAAGTCCGCGGGTGATCCGTCCCAGGTATGAGTAGCACTCTGAAACAAACCTCGTCTTTGTTCAGTCATCCAGTTATCCGAGCACTGACGACTCACGAGGCCCATTGCCAGTCTTCAGTCTTTCCCGAGTACAGCATCAGGACGATAGGTCGCGTTGCCATCGTCGTTACAGTACCACCCGACCACATTTGCACTTTCACGGGCGTCATAGGCGCTTAGCAGCCTGAGAACGCGTGTTTGCAAATGCCGCCCATCAAGTACAGCCATGGTTGGCATATGGAGCCGAAGCATCAAGAATCCAGGTGGCCGTTGACCGGAAGGAGTGCCAGTCTCGATCTCGGCCCGAAGCGTGATCAATCGGTGAAAATATCTTTTGGCCCCAATATGGCCAAGAGAGGATTACGCTCACTTCTTCGCCACTTCACCGCATCGGCCATGGCCTCCGACATCAGCGCGAGGATTCATTCCAGACTTCATAAGGATGCTGCCCGCCGGGAACGACCACTGTAGTAGTACTGGTGACGTTGAGGTCGCCTTCGATACTCGGGCGTTCGCACGTCTGCGTTCTGGATGCCATTCATCAAGCATCATGTATCAGCCAACGCTGGGAGGCAGCCGCCATTCACATGGGCGTAAGAAGACGTCTCTCGACCCTGGCGCACTACCCGAATGTCCTCCTGTCGTTATCGTGGGCAATCATCTGCGCGAGAAGGATATCCAGTCGCGAAGTCCGAGCGACTTGTGGTGTCACCAACTCCACGCTATCCGGCCTCGCGATGCCCTCCATACGCGCGCTATTATAAGCGCAGTCAAGGACTATTGCCTGTCTCACATTCGTCGCTCAACAAACCGACACACCAAGCTTGGACCGAGCTATCTCTACGATCATGTCTTCACCCATTGATCTCAGCACTCTCTTCTCGCTCGAGGGCCGCGTTGCTCTTGTCACTGGCGCCGGCTCGGGTATCGGCTCATACATCGCCCACGCGTTCGCACTCGCCGGCGCCGCTCGAGTCTACATCACCGGCCGTCGGCTCGAAGCGCTGCAAAAGACGGCGACGTTTCACAAAGCCATCATTCCCATTCAGGGCGACGTCTCGAGCAAGGCGGGATGCAGCGCACTCGTCAAAGCGTTCGAGGACGCCGAGAGGGCGCACGGCATCTCCGGTCAGATTCGTCTGGACATTCTTGTTAACAATGCTGGAGTTATGACCAACGACGGCACTTGGGATAAGGACGGCGCCAGCGCAGATGAGATCAGCCAGGCTCTCCTCAAGCTAAGCGACGATGAATGGGCCAAGGGCTTTGCCATCAACGTGTCTTCCATCCAGGTTCGTCGGTTGCTGTACGATTTCGTCCGCTCGATCTCATGTATGCCTACAGTGGATGTCTGCTAGCTTCCTTCCGCATCTCGCACGCGCGGCGGCTGAAGGCGGCAAAGCGCAGGGTCGTGGCAACATCATCAACAACACATCTATTTCCGCGCTTTACGTCTCTCGGGACGCACAAGGCCATCTCTACTCCGCGACCAAGGCGGCAGCCGAGTCACTCACTCAGAACCTCGCGAGCAAGTATACCAAGCTCGGCGTACGCGTGAACTCGATCGCCGTTGGCAACATCCCGAGCGAGATCAACGACTTGAACAACCCCAAGAGTTTCATCTCCATGCTCAAGGACATCATCCCGATTGGCCGTCCTGGAAACGAAGAGGATATTGCCGGTGTAGTCATCTATCTCGCCAGTCGGGCAGGTAGTTTCGTGTCGGGCGCGATGCTCAAGGTCAGTACTGCCGTAGTCAAAGTCGACAATTTACTAATGAGCGCGATAGATCGAGGGTGGTATCCTCATCGGCGTCTAAAGCAGTAGCCTGGATAGGAACGTCTGAGTTGAAGAAATGTCACTATATCTGTATATCGAAATACGCAATGACCATGTACATGTATTACCCAACGGCGAATGCGCGTATGAGTATCGAGTGTTTGACCAGGCTCGGACTCATGAACCCTCTGAGAATAGTAGGAATAGTTCCACGGGCTCGTTAGATGGGTTGTTGTGTACATATGAGCGATTGCCTCAGCTTTATTACACATCGAACGGCCTGGTGAAAAAAGTTGTTGTTTTATTTGGGCTTTTCCTGAATAAAAGCGGCCGATGTTCCCGGTGCATAGGGTTAGGGTTCGAGTCCCGGCGCCATCAATCCCGCGCGGAAGTTGAAGTTGGAACGTCACTGAGATCCGTTCGAAACAAACCGCGAGGCACATAAATATGCCTACTACAAAATTGACACGTGAAAACGTTCATGACAATAGAACTCGTAGTACTACATTGTCCCAGAGGCTGCTGAGGCCATTCTCAAACTACGTTCTGTTCAGTCGCTGTTCCCTCGAGCAATTCGACAGCCTCTACTATGTCTTTCGTCGGCACCGGTATCCCCTTCTCCTCAATAGCGCGAGGGTTTTGACGATTGAAGAAGTAGTCTATGCCTTCTACCCCTTCCTGTATACCATGGCTACCCAACGTCAGACAAAGAGCGATAGAACAGACAAGGACTAGGTACGTACGACTGCTCGAGGTGCTGTTTCAGCTCCACCAGCTGAGGCCATGGGCCCGCAGTCTGTAGGTGTTGCTCCGAGCGCGTAGTTGCCAGTTTGAGGTGAAATGTACAATGGCAACAGCCCCAAGCCCTCTGCAAAGCCGATCTGTCCCCATACAGCTCTGGGTGCATAGCGCGCTGTAAGTCGACATACCGCTCCTGTAGAGGATCTAGTTTAACAAGCGTGAACTCGGCGGGCCCCAAGAAAGGGCCATCGTGCGGGGACCGTCCGGCATGCGATACCTGCGCACGAGTCAGGATAGTTAATGTATAGAGAAAGAGAGGCGACATACGGCTGATGTCCAGGAATGACAGAGCATGGGACGTTCCCGGTTGTGATCGCACTTGGGGCAGATGAAGAGTTTCGAATTGGCAATCCGGCGCATATCGCCGACAGTAGTCTCTTCGGGATCGAGGCCAAGTAATGCGAGCAACTGCATGATGGCAAGATGTGCACGCGAAGAGGGAGAAATGTGGGAGTTTAGCTCTCCGCCAGAGAGTAGAGATGTATGTGCGAGCGCGTCCAGTCCGTAGAGGATATGAGGTTCGGTGCAGCCTCCACATGTCCAAACGTGAGAAACGAGGTCTAGACTTCGGAGAGTGCTTTCGACGGAAAGCGTAGGAGTAGCGCGTAGGGTGCAGCTTCTACGGACCCATCCGTCAGGGACTTTGTATCGTAGTTGCAACGCTTGTTTATTGATGCGTTGGACGATGTCCGACCAAGAAAGAGCCAGAGCGTCGCCGACAATGCGTTGCAAGTGATTAGAAGCTGGCGTGTCCTTGCGGATAGCGTTCGAGATCCGCGGTAAACCAAGAATGACGGAAAGGGAAGGCATGAATGAGATGGTGGTTGACTGGATCTTCTTCAGGAATTCAAGATATGCACAGCCGACAACATCTTCACGGTCTTTCCGCCGTTGGAGACTCTCGCGTTGTAACCTGTGGTCTCGCACGCACTCTGCACAGGACGTCACGCCGGGTGCTATCTTCGCCCAGCCTGATAGAAGGCATAAGCTTTGGACTCAGTCCTGGAATTCAGATACCCACTGCTGTCGGTCAGAGGCTTCGATGCGCGTACATTTGGCTCATGTCGAAAGCTCAAGGAATCCAGATCACGATCCTCGAACCCCTGGAGACGAAGCCGAGATTTTATGCTTGATGTGTCCGTCAGTAGTTGAAGTAACGCGAGTCTCATTAGACTTACTCCTCGAGGCGCTGTGCTCTTATACTTTCCATCTCATTTGAGCGATCCTTCTCCTTGGCTCTCTCTCGAGCGTGGCATGCTCGAGCCCACTGCATCAATGAGGTCAAGTTCGGAACGGCATCATGATAAGAACCAACAGAAGAGTATACCTCACCACGGGCATCCAGCGCACGACGGAGATCCTGATTGAGAAGCCCGCGTTGTTCCTCGAACTTAGCTTCGTCGGGGAAGCGAGCGTGCAGATCTTGGAGTTTCAGCCTGTATCCGTTATAGTCTGTCTTCCGGTAAGCGTATTGCCATCGTTTGGTCTTGAGAGAAGGTGAAGGGTAGTGCACTATCGAATCGTTGTGTCAGTCCGCCTTGTATGTGCAGCAGGAACGTGGCCAAGTACCAAACTCGGAAGGCATAAACTCACGAACATGCGTCAGTGGGGCTCCGAACGAGACAAGACCTCGATTGGCGTCGGAGTAGAGACTAACAAATGCCAGTGCGTCAGATGCAGATCCACAACCATCACGTCTGCGAGAAACATACTGCTTCAACACGCATGCCGTGCATGGTCGCATTTGAAGCGCCCAAAGGACTGGGTTGGACGTTCGTCCGCCACACATCTTATTGAAGCGTGATCTCAGTACTAGCAACCGCGAGCGCATATGGAACTCACCGTGCACCACGGCTTGCCGAAGATCAATGCAGTCCAAGCAATCTCTGACATATCATCCGGCTTGACGGGGTCACCGTTTGCGGCTGAGACGTCGAGTACTTCTTTCCATAGAGAGAGTGATCTTCGCGTAAGGAGCAAACTGCGAAAAGCCTTGGTAGTGCGAGCAAGATGCAGGAGGTCGCCCGGTCCAAGGTGAGCAAAGATCTGGGCAACGAGACGTCATTCAGGGATACGATGAGTGATGTCGTTTCTCGTACTTCATATAACACATCGAGGGGTAGGGTCGGCAGTGCGCTCAAGCGCCCTTTACGCTTGTTCCGTTTCGGCGGCGCCTGTCTGTTCTTAACAGACGATTTAGACTTCCGGGGCTCCTTGCCAATCGGACCGGTATCTGCGAGTGATTTGAGTTGGCCAATTGCGGTGCTAGAGAGGGCAATGACTGACCACGCCCTACATTCCCGTGAGACGTATCCAGCTTGAGGGAGGCTCTAGCTTCACCCTTCATATTACTCGCTACGCAGGGTAATGCTCGTCTGGCGGTACCACGCGCTGCTGATATGAGTTGTAAGCAGGAGATGGTGGGAGGAGCTGAGTTGTGAGGTCGCCCAGACGGCGCATATGATGCAGTGGAGATGGTCGCGATTGCCGAGCACATCGCGCGCACACTGTGCGGCTTCGACGCGCTCCATACATTTGATGGGCACTCGCGATCACATGAGCGTGTCACCGTCTTTGACGCGTTCCTCTCTCTCCGTTGCTGTGGGCCGGGCCGCCGCCATTTTGTCGCCCGTTGAAATGAGACTTAGCATGGTAGTAGCATAAGAGTTCAAGTGTTCTACTGGGTGTGCTCTAGACCTTGACACCAAGATGCACGCATGCGATACCTCCCCACAAGTCCCTCCACGCACCGCCGTCGCCGGAGAAGTGACCTCCTGTTGCGAAACCTGCGTTCTCAATCATCTTCGCGAACTCCTCCTGAGGTGGGAACCTGCGAATAGACTCGACAAGGTATTGGTACGACTCGCGGTCGCCCGCGAGAATGGACCCGAGCATAGGAATAACGCTGAAGGAGTAGGTATCATACAGCCTGAGTGACCGTGAGAAGATATACGCAATATAAAGTGCGAAGGTACTCACTGTGCCAATAATGGGTTGTTCACTTTGTTGAACTCCAAGCATGCGAATACGCCTCCCGGTTTCAGCACACGTTGCGCCTCCCGCAACGCAGCATTGATATCCGTGACATTACGGATACCAAAAGCGATGGTGTACAAGTCGTAGGTATTATCCGGGAAGCGCTCCCTGTTTAACGCCTGGGCATCCGCCTCTGTAAAGCTAACTTGGGGTGTCGCGTGATACATTGTCTTTGCGAAGCGCTTTTGGCCCTCGGCCAGCATTCCGCCGTTGATGTCGACCACATCCACGCTCGTCCCTCGCTCTCCGTATTTCTCCCTGCTCCAGTCGAGTATCCTCAGCGCGATGTCGCCGGTGCCGCCTGCTACGTCTATGCATTTCATGGGACCCTTCGAGCCCGGTCGGAGCAGCGAGACGTAGTCGTCCTTCCATAGTCGATGTACTCCGAGAGACATGGCGTCGTTCATGAGGTCGTATGAGGATGCGACCGAGGAGAAGACGTTGTGGACTAGTGACTGCTTCTCCGGCGTAGGCACCGAGCGAAAGCCGAAATGCGTGGTGCTGGATTCACCGGTAGCATTTGAGCCATTGTTTGGAGGGAGTGAGTGATTAGCGCGAGCTAAGGAGAGCAATGGGCGCGTCGCGCGCGTCGAGCGACGGGCAACGGAAAGCATGACGGTGTGAGCGAAGGAAGACGCCGACGCGACGCGTCCGAACGCGCTCACGGCATTTCCCGTACGCAATGATCTCATCCGGCTTCTCACCAAGCTACTTGAACACGACCCTCATCTACTGTATCGAATGGCCATCTGAACCTCTTCCCCTTGCATAAGCATTCCTCGTCTGCTAGAATACGCGCAACCCTTGCAAGTCTATTGCATGATCTCTGAACCAGTCCCTTTCGACATCCTTCATCGGATCTTTGATGACTTTGTGGGCGAAGATGAGCAACAGCTCTTCAGCCTGAGCTGGACCAGGCTGCTCCTCGTGTGCCGTCAATGGCATGCCATAGGCCTTTTATCCCCGCGACTCTGGAGCTACATCAGCTTTGAGCCCACTCTATCTGTCTCCGAAGTTCCTTCATCAGAGGGATTCGCAGACATCGAAGAGGACGTCCGTCGCGTTAGAACGCAACTTGCTCGGGCCGGGACCTGGCCACTGACTATACGTTACAAGCCGCTTCCTTGGACGTATCCCAACTACTTTCAAGAGCTCGGATCATCGTTGTTTTGGAACCCCGAGGCGGTTCAATGTCTTTCCGTGCGCGGAGACTATCTCCGTTTGAACGAGACCATCCAAGAGATTTGCAGGCATGTGCATCCCAGAATGCATACCCTCGAACTACAGCACCGCAAGAGCGAGCTTAACATGGCGAACATCATAGCACTGAGCGAACTACTTGCGCAGAAGCTACCCTCCCTTCAGGACCTAGTCCTCCGCGACGTGCGATGTGACTGGTCATGTATCCAGAACTTGCGCAGTCTGAAGCTGTCCTATGCTGTCCTGATGCCGCAGCCATATCATCTACAAGACATCGTCACAGCTCTACGGCGTTGCCCAGACCTCGAGGAGCTTCACCTCGGTCTGCCTTTCTGGCGGTCATCGGGCGACTCTGAACCTATCCCCGAGCCTTTGCCATTACCACATCTGCACGATCTCATCCTACGCGGCCCGGTGCACATATGTGCACCGCTCTTTTTATCTATCGAGACCCTCGCTCGAGGAGCAACTATCAACATCTCCTTCAACGGTGTACATCCTCGGGATGAACGCAACCTGGAGCGCGTCGAGTCACGCATCGGCGAGCATCTTCGCCGCCCGAATGCTTCTTCCATCTGGTGTCTGACTTGGGGCAATAGCGCAGTAGACGGGCGCATCGCAGTGGCGCGGACTCGCGGCCCGGGGAACATCAATAGTTCTGCCGACCCGGATATACACTTTCATGCCTCAACCAAGCGCCCTCCGCTCGGGCTGTCGAACTGTCTGGCTTCGTGGCCTTTGGATAATGTGACACATCTAGACATGCGCTCAATAAGCATCTGTGCATCAGGTGTCTGGCGTGTGCTCCTCGCATCCTTGCCTGCGCTGCACACGATTGCGATACGGGTGGAGCGATCGCCCATCGAGGAGCTCCTTCTCGTTTCGTTGGAAAGATTGGCCCAAGGACATCATCCTGTGGCGAACCTCTACTTCGACGCCTCAGAGCTTTTGATGTCGAACGCATATCATGCTCTACGTGACGAGCGCAAGGACAGTTGCACAAAGACGTTGGAACGTCTCCTGATCTACTGTGCTAAAGCTGAGGAAGCCGGCGCACCGTTGGAGGAAGTCAACCTCGTGGATCCTCACTGCCATCTCATTCCGGAAGATGTTGCTTGGAGGCATTACTGCAGGAGCTTAGTCGCAGGCTTTCGATATAACGGGGTTATGCACTGTCGTCTGATGAGGGGGAGCCTTGACAGATTGAGCGAGGTTTGAGTCCGGCCCCGCGATTGTACCACGTACATACTACCTGAGTTCGAGTTGTACCATCATTTTGTTTGAATGGTTGTAGTTGACCACACATATCCTCACCGTACTCATATTCAAGTCCACTGTCGTGCCGGATCAGTCGTGCCTCGGTCAAGCCTCGGCCATCCCTGAAATAATTAAATAAATGATTAAATCCGAGAAATCCGGAAATTTCTCCGCGTTCGCCACACGCGCGCGCTGCTCCGTTCCTGCGCTCATGTCTTTCACCTCTGCACAAAAGGGAAAGGCCCGCGCCTCTTCTACACCTAGCTCCTCGTCAGCTTCGTCCTCTTCGGATAGCGACTCCGACGTGACCTCGAGCTCATCAGAAAGCGAGAGTGAGAGCGAGTTGGAAGACCCGAATAAATACCTCGAACTCGCACGCGAGAATATACGGGCCAAGGCTGCAGCCGGGAAGGACGATACCTTTGTTTCATTGGCGGAAATTGACGACGAGGAAGACGTGATTGCGTTAGGAGATCCTGAGGATGTACTACAGTGCGTACACAATAACCCACAGACTATTTCTTTCGCTGAATGCAGCATAGAAAACTGCCGCCTCTTGACCCTGGTGAACTCCCTGACTCTTACTTCGCGCCTGGACCCAGCAAACGAAAAGATGCACGGCAAGCACGCGACCTCGATGCTGCACGTACAATATCCGCGGCGGAGAAGCTGCAGCTCGGCGCACCGGCACCGCCCGTCCCTTCCAAGCCATCAGGGAAAGATGGGAAACCATTAACCAAACGGGAGAAGAAAGAGGTGAGCACGCTACCGCTTATACACCACAGTCTGTGACTAATAACTACCGTCCAAGATGCGCGAGAAAACTGCGGGCAAAGACTGGTTCGACCTCCCTGCACCGCGGGCGGTAGATTTGCCACGGCTCTACCGTGAAGTCGAGGCGCTGAGGATGCGCAATCAACTAGACCCGAAGCGGTTCTATAGGAAAGATGAAGGCGAAGGGAAGGGTATCAAGGGCTTGCCGAAACACTTCGCCGTACGTGTATCCCTGCCTCTATTCAGAGTTAGCGCACGGGATGTCGACCCTGGCCCGAACAGATTGGCCAAATCATTCCTACCTCAACTCCGTTTGGTGGTAACGCTGCCACCGACCTTCCGCGCGCAGAACGCAAGCGGACGCTGGTGGACGAGCTCGTCGATGATGCGGAAACGGCGCGGTACGCAAAACGCAAGTTCCTTGACTTACAAGGACAGAGGGCGCGGAATGGCCGGGGAACATTACATGAGCGGAATAAGAAGCGGAAACCGAAGTGGTAGAGCTCTCGCTATGCGGCGATGCGTTGACGCAGGTTGTACGTTGTTACTTGTATTCTCCCCGCGCCACCTATCTTGGCATGTATATCCCGATGCATTGATACCGCAACTATGCCATTCACTATCATCGCTCGTTGTTCTGTTGACGACGGGGCCGAGAGTCGAGTCCACTGATCTCGGTGGCTTCTTAGAATGCCGGCACTCGACAGACACCTCAAGTGTTGATCCTGATTACAGCTTGCTCCCGACCATCACCCTGCTCTCGCAATTCAGACACCGGAGAAAACGCCTGTACTCGCGTTGTGCACGATGTCTTCGATTCAACCCCCATCTTCACGGGCAGTCACAGTCGCGGACACTTTCACGCTCTATGATCTGCGTGTCGAGGCCATCTGTCCGCCAGGCGCCCGCATCCTCTGTGGCGCTCAACCAGGGGACCATTTTTTACTTGAGGGCGAGATGCTACGACTTGGCGAAGGCACGCGCGGTTTCTCTATCTACTCGCTATGTCAGTGTCACAGTCTCTCTAAGTTCCATCGAGTCGTGTGCTGACGTCGAGCATAATCTTGCGTAGCTGCAGTGCTCCCCTTGCTCGCCGCGAAGCAACGCCCTACTCATCCTCACGACTGGATGTCGACAGATGCTGAAGTGGCGTGTCCTGACCCACACTGCGGCTCGTGTTTGAGGATAACGAGGATTGCGAAGAGGGAGTTCTCGCACGCTGAAGTCAGTGGAGTGCCATTGAAAAGCAGCGAAGCGATGGGCTACCGGGGAGAGTCAAATTAAGGCGCGCATGCGGAAACGATACAAAAATGCGGCGAAAAATCCACGCAGTCTATGCAGTCACATCAATTGCATGCTTTATGTGAGCTATACGAGTGCACCCCTAGATGCTTCTCAGTAGATTAAAGATATACGAGCCTCAGTGCTCAACCGAGGCTCTTAGAGTACGCCGATCGACGAGCTCGCGACAATCCGTCAACCGTACACCTACGTCAACTACTCCTATAGAATGCACGTTATTCTTGTTGGATGTGAACTTTTCTTCCCTGCGTGCATTATAGTTGCTACAGTCGCTTTGCGCTTAGTCTGCCATTTCCTACGTTAATTCACGCGCATGGACCACAGATCGGCTAGCGGGCCCGATGTCCGAAGCGCGGTAGAATGTCACAGCAATCATGTAAGACGCTTGACGTGGCGAGCGGAACACGGCTTGTCTTCGACCATCAAGTTCCCCGCAATGGACAGCGACAGGCGGCGTCTGCCTATCGCCTGCTCTCGATTCATGTTTTGAGATACGTACGGTCTGCCAATAGCAATGGGATATCCCAGCGTCTCGTCGTGGTGTCTCCCTAGCTTCCGGTGTATTCCGATGGGACGTCTATATGGGCCTAAGCTGCTTGACGTCTGAAGGGTAGCTGCGGGCTCCTCCACCAGAGGTGTTTGCCCGGTATCCCGCTACTTCTCCTCATCATTTCTGGACGTCTAATGTCTACATTCGATCTTATCTCGTCAGAGTGACGACCCAGCGGAAGCCCAGTGGGACTGACTGTCCACATAAGCGGGCTCCTCGGCAGTTCAAAACAACACAAGTGCTCAAAGCCTCGCGTTTCACGGCCCATCAAGGACACTATACCCAGTATATAATCTTCAATACTCCCCTCCGCTGGCTCACTGGCAACAACCACCCAGATCCAACGGCGGCAATGTCAGACGCTCAGCTCCAGCGTTATCGTCTCCCAGATTGCGTAGCGGATTGGCCATGGACGCGTCAACTCAACAAGCACTATGTGCCTGTCAAGACTGCTTCGAGTGCTTGGATGCGATCGTTCGCTGTCTTCCCTCACAAGACGCAGGACGCCTACGATCGATGTGACTTCAGTACGTTCTATGTCTTTGACAAGTCCTCATATATCATATCTTGATCGTGACTCCGATCGCAGATTTGCTCGCTTCGCTGACGTGGTCGCACCATAGTGCATCTCACCTGCGTACAGGGTGCGATGCCATGCACCAATTCTTTGTCTACGACGAGTTCTCGGACGTCGCGAGTCCGCGAGAGGTTCAGGTCATGGCCAACATCATCATGGATGCGCTGCGTCACCCGCATAAGCCACGCCCCTCGGATGAATGGATAGGAGGCGAGTTAACACGCCAGTGAGTCCTTCGCGAGTAGTGTCTCCAACTGTTGATGACTGACGACCTCCAGGTTCTGGGAAAGGGCTATCAAGACGGCTTCACCAGGGTCACAGAAGCGCTTCCTTGACTACTCCGCGCATTACACCCAAGCCGTCGTACAAGAAGCCGAAGACCGTCACCAAAACGTTGTACGCCCCGTAGACGAGTATCTTGTCGTACGACGCGAGACGAGCGGCGTGAAGGTGTGCTTTGCGATTATCGAGCTCGACCTGGATCTCCCCCAGGAAGTACTAGACCACCCCGTGATCAAAGAGATGGAGGTCCTCGTTGCCGATATGGTTCTTCTATTCAACGTGAGCACATTGCGCCGCTGAAGAGAACGCATACTGGACTCTCAAACATCTCGCGCAGGATATAGCTAGTTACAACATTGAACATGTGCGAGACGACGACAGCCATAACATCGTGACTTCTCTCATGCTTCACGACGGGACAGACATACAGGGCGCCATGGATTGTAGGCACAGTTGTCACCACTTCCGGGCGAAGACGCTGACCGCATGGACTACATAGGGGTCGAGAATCACCACCGCAAGCTCGTAGCGCGGTTCCTCGAACTATACTATCATCATGTGCCCAAATACCACACTTGCCCTCTTGACTCGGATATCTCCAAATACGTCGATGGCCTGGGAAACTGGGTGCGCGGGAACGAAATCTGGAGTTATGAGAGCGAGCGCTACTTTGGCAAGCGCGGACCCGAGATTTCCCATGACCGGTGGGTGACCTTGATGCCCAAACAACGCGCAGAGGCCATCGGCCCACAGCTCATTGATCGCGGGTGAGGGGATTCAGAAGGCAATAGGGGGAATCTATAGATACAAGACTAGTCTGCGATGTACGAGGTCTGCCATCAACAACACTCTCGCTGGAAAGTGGTGTTCCCCCAACGGGCAAGCGACTACGCCGCGCCCAGTATCACACATCGCGTGGAGCAAGACGATATGAACAACCAGTCCCCATGGAGCACACCGTCCCCCCCAATAGTGTTATCGGCTCGTTTTCAACCTCACATCGCCGACTCGTTTCTGAGCAAGAGTACACGGGACCGGATCCGACGGCCCGGACTAACATACTCTACACGTGTCCGATAATCAATGTTAATGATCTGTCACCGCGGCTTGCCTCTACCCTCCATCTTCCTTATCATTGAGTCTTCCCGCTAACCTTCAAGGCCAATATGCGCACGTTCCTCGACCTTACGAAACATTCTCACCAGGGTTATCTGCGCGCCCGTGCCTGTATGACTTATACTCACACTGCGCTATCTATCCCGAAAGCGGGCATACGCGACTAACACTTGGCAGGGACTTTCAATGGTCCAACAGTTTCATCGCACCCCACGCCGCAAGACTTATGACAGATGGTCTCTGGGACATGAGCAGATATCCTGTGAGTCTTTGGAGCTATGCAGGCAATGCAAGAATGTCTGCTAACCCACACGAGTGGTCGAGAGTATTTGAAGGTAGGAGTGTATGTATATACATCCCTCACCATTACATATCTTCACCCACGTAAATGGTGCTGAGATTTCTGAGCTGTCGAGGGTGACTTATTCGCGGTGCACGGATTCTCAGTCGCCACAGAGAGAAGTGCAATTTGTGAGATACGGCTCATCATTCGGTGACAAGGTTAGGGAGTCCTTGAATGCGCCACCCAACTTCGCGAATATCAGAGTTACATCAAGATTGAACTCGCAGCCTATAAGTATCTCGACTCATGGATAAGGCTCGTCGGTACATACCCTCAACGTCCATGACATCCAAACAACTCCCGCATTTCTACATCCCCGATTGCCTGGTTCATTGGCCCTGGCCGCGCCGCTTGAACAAACATTATCTTGAAGTCAAACCTGCTTCCACCGCCTGGATGCAGTCGTTTCATGCTCTCTCTGCTCAAGCGCAGTATGCATTCGATCGTTGCGAATTTAGTACGTTCTGCTACGGCGTCGGCAGTTCTGAATGTGTTGATTATCATCACTACTCGCAGGTCTACTCGCAGCATTGGCCTATCCGGACCACGATACAGCTCACCTGCGCACAACTTGCGACCTCATGAACAACTTCTTCTATCTTGACGAAGTATCAGATGTTGCACCCCTGGAGGAGGTGAAGGCGATGGCAGATATCACCATGGACGCGTTGCGGAATCCGTGGCAACCACGTCCCGTCGGAGAGTGGATCGGAGGGGAGATCATTCGACAGTATGTTCCACGCCCTTATCAACATGCCGTCACTTATCCCTGTAGATTCTGGGAGCTAGCTGTCAAGACAGCTTCGTCAGAATCTCAGAAGCACTTCATCGATGCTTACACACCGTATACCCAAGCTGTTGTGCAACAAGCTCAGGACCGCCAGGATGGCCACATTCGGACAGTCAACGAGTATTTCGCCATACGTCGCAAGACCATCGGCGTCAAACCATGCTTCGTTATGCTCGAACTTGCTCTGAACTTACCACAAGAAGTCTTGGAGCATCCAGTGATCAAGGAGATGGAGATGGCTGTGATCGATATGATCAGCATGACCAACGTGAGTGAAGATGATAGTATGGAATTATCAGCGGGTTGCTCATGAGCTTGACGAAGGATATCATGAGCTACAACAAAGAGCAAGCGCGGGGTGACGACAACCACAATATCATCACATGTCTTATGCATCACCTTCGCACAGACATCCAGGGCGCCATGGATTGTAAGATCTCTGCTTATTGTACTGCTACTGCATCCACACCTTATGCGTATCTACCTAGGGGTCGAAGAGCATTATCGTGGCGTCGGAGCTCGATTTCTGGACCTATACTACCACAGTATCCCGAAATACCATTCGGCCAACATTGATGCGGATGTGGCAAAATACGTCGATGGCCTTGGGAACTGGGTACGGGCTACTGACCAGTGGAGTTTCGAGTGCGGACGTTACTTCGGCAAGGACGGGCTTGAGATACTCAACAAGCGTTGGGTGACGCTGTTGCCCAAGAGAACGGTAGAGGAGGTCGGCCCACAGTTGTTGGATGATGTTCTGATGTAGAGTCAAGAAGGACATAAATGTTGCACCCCGGGCGATTGCGGACCCCATTCACCTCGTGTAGAGAGTTTCCTGGCAGCTAAACGCGTCATATCAGACACTTTCTCGAGCTCACCTTTCTTCTGCGACTTCTTCGTCCGGGTGGAAGAGAGTCCACTTGACGTTGTACGCGTTGTTTTCAGAGGTTGAGCGGATTCGCGGAGAACAGAAAGGTGGCAGCGAGCGTCGAGAGCAAGTCTGCGGATGCGCTGTGCAGGTTCGTCAACGTGGACAACCGCGCAAACGCGTCTCACCAGCGCGTGATGTCATGTCACATCTCACATCGGTGTTTTCGGTGCGTTGAACGCTTCGCCGGCCGAGCCGCACTCAAGTGCGCGCGGACTGACACCAAGTATGGGCGTAGAGCTGCATAAAGTCAGCTAGTCTATGTGCACGAGGAACAATATGAATTTGAGCCAGATTATGCTACAACGTAGTATGAAGATGAACAATGACAGTATAGCACAAAGCGAAGACGGCAGACGGGGGTGATGGGAGGGGAAGTAAGAGGGAGTCCACAAGAGACTGACGACAATGAAGAACACAATGCATCTATGCGACGTAGTTGAACGTGTCGCGGGTGTTCTCCGCGCGCTCGATATACTCCTTCTCCAGCAACGTCTCGATCGCCTTCTTGATGTCCGGGATCTTGGGCGTGAAACGGGTCGAGATCTGGGAGATGACCTCCTGGATCAGCGGCTGGTTCTTCATTGTCTTGCGCGCCTTCATGATACTATATACGCCATGAGTACGAAGGACCAATAGGGCAACGAAGGAGAAGATAACGCACCGGACAATCGTGGCCTGGATCACGTACTTGCGGTCCTCGTCGACCGTCTTCAGCACGTCTGACGCCTCAGCCTTCGCCTCGGCCTTGATCGGCTGGTTCAGGTTGATACGGATCTTCTTTGACTTGAAGTCTGGCAGCAGCGATCAGCGTCTGAGGTAATCGATCGAGATGTAGAGAGGACGTACTGGGGTTCAAGTCAAATTGTTCGTTGTCGTCTGAGACGAGGATCTTCGCCTTGGTTAACAAGCCCAGAACCTGAACGAGCAGCTCCTTCTGGATGGCCGTTGCCTGCAGCAACTCATCGAGGCTCAGCGTATCGGCGCGGTTGTATTGTAACAACACCGCTGTCTGGTATGCGCTCGTCATCAAGATGTACTTCTGATTGAGGTGGTTCGTTCGCAACTCGTTCTTCGAGTAGTTCCACAGCCAGGTAAGCTTGCGACCGGAGTGCTTCGTCTGGTAGTACTTCTGGAAGCGGTCGTACGTCGCTTGCAAGTCGGTCGGTACAATGTAGTCGCCTGGCGGCGCGGTGATGGGCCAGAAGTTCGTGCCGAGGACCATGATGGAGAAAGAGAGGTCAACGTCGTCATGGTTCTGTTGCATACGTTCCTTGAACGAGTCTGTCAAGTCCTTGGACAGGCTCATATCTGAATTACAAGTCAGTTCATGTACAAGTATGAGGCGGGTGAGAACATACCGGTGAACATGCGCTGGAGCTTGTTGGTGTACTCGAAACCGCAAGCCTCCTTGAGCTTCGAGATCATGCTCGCCTCTGCCTCGTCCGACGCGGACACACCGTGAATGAGACGCTTCGAGAGCTTGGTGGTGTAGTACTGTTGGAAGACGTCTTTGTCGTCGAGGTACTTGAAGAGCACCATCTACAAAAGAGTCGCGTCAGTCATGCATATAGACAACAGGATTTCATGCTTCTTACCACCCGGTTCAGTGCGCCCTCAAGGTCCTGGTCCTCCGCCATCTTGTTGCTCTTCCGAAGCAGCGCATCAGCGTGCTTCGCGAGGAGCTCAGGCGAACGCGTAGGTTGGCTTCCCGTCGCCTTGTTCTTGTTGACGAAGTCACGGCATGCCTTGTCGAGAGCAGCAACAAAACCGGCCTCGCCCTTGAAAGAGCGGTTGACCGTCTCTGCATTCTTCGAGTGCACCTCCAACAATGCGTCGACGTACGCCTTGGGGTCGACGTCCGCGCCCTCTGAGTCCGCAAGCTTGGCGACGGCAGCAAGACCTGCGTTCTTCACGTGCTCCTCGAACTTCTTGCGCAAGGGCTCGAGACCCTCCGGGATGCGCGCAAGTAACGCGTACATGCGTTGCAAGTCCTCGTCCTTGTCGAAGTCGAGCAGCGTCTGGAATGCGTCCCACATGAGCTCGGCATGCGAGCGGATAAGCACGTGCTCGCACTTCTGCACGAGCAGCTTGCGGGTAGTCGTGTGTAGGTAACGCTCGACGCGGTCCTCCTCCTCGCGCAGACGCTCTTCAGCCTTCTTCAAGTAGTCCGAGACGGAGTTCTCGGCGAGGAAAGCCTCGGACTCGGCCTTGTAGTACTTCTCCGTCGCCTCAAGGAATGGTGTCTCAAGGTGCTCCTTGTAGATCTCAAGCGACGCCTTGTTGATGTCCGTCTCATCGATCCCGAGCGAGACGAAGGAGTCGATGACCTTCTTCACGAGACCCTGGTCAATCGTCTCGCCGTTCCTCTGCTGCTCGATCAAGCGCAGGATGGCACCCGCCAATTTGGTCTGTTTGCTCTGGATGTGCAAGAAGAAGTTTTGCCTCCATTGGACGAGCGCAAGCTGTGCAGGAAGCGTCAGATCAACGATGTCAGATCATGGACGATGTCGTGCGAACCGTGTAAACAGGGTAGACGCCCTTGCGTCCCTCGTCACGTTCGCGTTTGACCCAGTGGCGATTCAAGTAGGTGAAGAGGCGATTGATATAGTTAGCACCGGTGGTATAGCGGTCCCATTCCTGGGCGTAGTACCGCAAGAGTGGCTCGTTCTGCAGCGCGTCCGAGGCCTGGCGAGGGGTCAGCCGACTGTAGAGATAAAGATCAGGGTGCACGCGACATACATCTTTAAGTCCTCGTAAATGGGCGACAAAATAGCGGATGAGGTGGTTGTACAGATCACTGCCCATGAGGTTCGCGCCCGCTGCAGGGAATACTTAGATCGCGCCCAAAGCCGGACTTATGTGCCACGCCACTCACATCGTGCCTGCGTCGGGTCCTGCGCGGCGGGCATCTTCGAGCTCGTGCAGTAGTTGTACGCGACGGTGTAAAGGCCCATATATTTGGAATACGAGACACCGGTGTGCAGTTTGGTCATGATGTGGTCCACACCCTCTTCGAGGTGGGCCCACGTCGTCGCGAGGTCCGCATTGGCGGGTGGAATATTCACTCCCGTCGGCGTAGAGGAGCCGCTCATCACAGATAACAGAGATCTACAGGATATTCAGAGAGTAAAAAATATGGGTGGCCACGCCGAGTCTGTCGCGGGCGTGGTGATGGTCGAGGGGCAAGTCGCAGGACGCGTCGCGCGCGCGCTTCGGGCACGCGTCCGCGGTCCGGTCTGTCGCCACGCGCGTCAACCACCGCGCGCCTCTGCTTTCCTTCGACCCCCATCTGCCACCTTCCATTGACAGCTGCAATACATTGGGCACACCGTACGCTAAATGCCACAAAGAGAGCAGGAGATCTCTGCATGTCTCTTTCTAACTCAGTTGCCGGTTGCACAGCCGCCACGGCCGTCTCCGACGCGAGTCAGCCATGTCCGCCGGCCCCGATCTGAGCTCAGGGTTGTAAAGGGGTGGTGCTTGATATTGTACAATACTACCCTACGTCTAATCTCACTGCAATCCTGGTCCGCTGCCCTCAGCGGGTACCAGTAGTCCGGCTTGAGCCCCTGCGCGAGCTTCGATACGCTCATGCCACGCCTGATCTTTATAAGACTATGACCTGGGGGTCGAGATAAACTACTGACCTTCACGTTGGGCCACTCATCCAGCGTCTCAGACACTGAGTATGCATATCTACGGATCCTTTGTGCATACAGTGCTCAGCAGATGCGCTGATACCTGTGGTCAAGCATTGAAACTCACCAGGGCCAAACATTGATGTCCGCAATCGAGTACTTTCCCCGTCCTGGACCTGCGAGCCAATCGCGATCTTTCAAGCGAATTTCAAGCACCCCCCATAATCTCTTGGACTCGTTGACGTAGCCTGCGTCTTCTGGTCAGGACTCATTCAACCAAAAAAGGGCAGGGGTTCATACGCTCAGCGGCATACGGTATCTTCTCCGGTGCATAATGCACGAAATGGTTCGCTTGTCCCATCATCGGACCGACACCTTCGCAAGTTTAACTCGATCCTCCGACCATCTAAAAGTGGTAGAACTCACCTCCGTGGGCGAAGAAGATCCACTGCAGCATCTCGCTGTAATCGTCCGCCTCCTTCACCGGATCGAATGTGAACTTATTATCCTTGTCATAGTGCTGAGCGAGATACAGTAAGATCGCTGCGCTCTCGAAGACGTTGAAATTGTTCCGAGAGCGATCTGTCAGAGTTGGAATACGACCGTTTGGGTTCATCGCGCTGAACCAAGGCTCCTTATGGACGGTCTTCCATATCTCGATGGCAAAGACGCTGGTGATGCGGTTAGCGAAGCACGACCGGGCGCAAATGTCGAAGATGGCCTACTCATATTCTAGGTTCTGCTCCGGGTATGCAAGCTTCAACTCCTCGAGCAAGACACTAGGCTTGAAGCCGTTCGGCGTGCGAGCAGTGTAAAGGATAAGTGGTTTCTCGGACTTGGTGGTCATGGCGCGAGCGAAGCTTCGTGGTTCTGTACGCGGGAGGTTCAGATCCGACGGGTGGCGATGGCTCCGACAAAGTGCCCGGCTTATATGCGATGTTCGAGAGATAGAACAAGCTGTCCTGGTTAGGCGGACGTTCGTGATCATGAGCACTGTCTTTGATAAGCTTCGTGGACGTCGCTTGGGAACTGGGGTGGTCCAGCACTTCTATTGTAGGGTCTCACAGTCAGCAATGCCTGCTTACTACACTTTCCCGCAGGGACTGAATGCGGGCGGGCAGGGTCTTACGACAGGCAGTGATAGACCGAGGCAAGAAGCACGATGGTCCATGACATTGCGGCGCTTCGGCCCAGTCCACTGGTGAGGTCCGCGAGACCTACCATCACAGACTCCATATTGGTACTCAATATCACATCCAAACATGTCTCGATCATCTTGACTTCACAGTTTGCTAGGTTTGCTACATATCGTACATCGGCGATTGTCTACTCCACGCATGCAATTGATGATTTACTTCTGCAAGCCCTGCTCGAAGTTCTCCACCGGGACTTCGATGCCCTTCTTCGCGGCGGGGCGTTCAGCGATGCGCTCCTTCCACGCCTTCAGGTTAGGCCACTCATCCAGAGTGTCAACGACAGAGTACGCATGGATGCGAATCCTATCGAAGTTGAGTATGTGGAGCATCATGCAAGGCGGTAGGCGACATACCAGGGCCACACGTTGATGTCCGCGATCGAGTACTTGCCGCGGCCAGGACCGGCGAGGTAGTCGCGGTCTTTCAAGCGAATCTCGAGGACGCCAAAGAGGCGCTTCGCCTCGTTTACGTAACCTGCAGAATGTGGCCAGTTAGACTCATCAATAGGACATTTAGCATCGGACGCACGGTTGATGGCGTAGGGAATCTTCTCGGGTGCGTAGTGCGTGAAGAAGTTGGCCTGTCCCTGCATCGGGCCGACACCACCATGGGCGAAGAAGATCCACTGTAGCATCTCGCTATAGTCGTCTGCCTCCTTCTCAGGATCAAAGGTGAACTTCTTCTCCTTGTCGTAGTGCTGGGCGAGGTAGAGCAAGATCGCAGCCGTTTCGAAGACGTTGAAGTTGTTGCGCGAGCGGTCGGTGATAGTAGGGATACGGCCGTTCGGGTTCTATGGCGCGATCAGTGCCCAGCACCATTCGAATGCACGGTCAAAGAGCGCACCAGCTTGATGAACCATGGCTCCTTCTGAATGTTCTTCCAGATCTCGATACCAAAGACACTGACTCAATGTCAGCGTATGCTTGTAGGAGGATGATCACGAACGCACTCATATTCGGGGCCGCCGTAGGTCTCCTTGAGCTCCTCAAGGTAAACTGATACCTTGTATCCGTTGGGAGTACGGCCAGTGTAGAGGATCAGCGGCTTCTCGGACGACATGGCACGATGGGTTCAGACGAGTTCTCAAGCCTGCGCGTGGGTAGTTCAAGACGGGCAGACGGATGGCCGCACAAGGCCTTATATCGTATTGCGCGATGATGACCCCACCGATATCTTCTAGATCGACTCCAGCACGCATGTCAGCAGGGCGCAGAAACTCTGTCATCCCGTGCGATAGTGCATGACCGCGAAGCCATTCGACAAGTCCGACTTTCGTCGGTGTCCAGCGAGCATGGCTGTCGAGCTCTTCCGGAGCGAGCGGACAACCAATGCGGTAGGCGAGCTGAATCAGACTATGCACCTCAAAGGCAAAATCTATATGCACGTCGAGGAAAGGGTCGTCGTGGACGAGCCCGTCGCCTGTGCGAACCCGCACAAACATTAATTGCCGGCATGACACGGTCACGTGAGATTATTGGAAGCCCTGCCGAACCGCAGCTGAGAGCGCTGAGAGCGGTTTCATCAAAGGAGGGCAGGACCCGACCCGCTAGCCTTCCTGCATGGACTAGCAGTCTCATAATAGTCACACAGTGAGATAGCTGTAGGTAGAGTGTGGTGTGAGCTTATGTCCGGCATATTGAGTCTAGGCCTGGCAGTTTGGGATGTGGATACAAGAGTAGATACGCTACCAGCCGTCTACTGAAGCTACAGGCAATGCACAACATACAAGTTCTAGTCACAGTCCGTATTACAATCATTCATGCAGAGTCCCCCTTCGATTGTTTCGCCAGCAGCTCCTGCGCCGCCTGATCGCTGTCCTTAGGACGAAGAACACGTGTCCAAGCGCGTTCGTATTGGTTCGCAGGCTTGACGGCAACGCCGAGCTCGCTGGCGGCAGTCAAGACAAAGTTGGGGTTGCGCAAGAGCTCCCGAGCCAAGAGCACGACGTCTGCGCGATTCTTCTCGATGATCTCGTTGGCTTGCTTCGGCTGCAGGATCATGCCTACGGTGCCGGTGACCACCTCAGGGTGCGCCTTCTTTATGTCCTCTGAGAATGGTACCTGCGCAATATCAATTGTCAGTGATGGTGCTAGCAAGTAAGAGTGAGCGCGTAGATACAGACCTGATAGCCGGGCCCGACAGGAATCGCCTGCTTCTCCCAGTTACCTGAGGAGCTCACATCGATCAGGTCAACGCCGAGCTCAGTAAGCTCTTTCGCCAAGCGGGTCGTCTGCTCGCTGCCCCATTGACGGTATACGCCCCCATCATCCTTCTCTGGGATGCCAGGTGCCCAGTCCGACGCGCTCAGCCGACAGAACAGCGGCATGTCCTTTGGAATGACGCCGCGAACCGCTTGCACGACCTCCTTGATGAAACGCGTGCGGTTCTCATAACTGCCTCCATATTCGTCCTTACGGACGTTCGAAAGTGGAGACATGAAAGAATGGAAAAGGTAGCCGTGGGCAGCGTGGATCTCGATGAAGTCGACTATGAGAACGTCAGAACATAGTCATGAGAGAAGGCGATCAAGTGCGTACAGCCGGCTTGAAGCGCGCGGTGGGTCGACGCGACGAAGGCATCGATCATGGACTTGATCCCATCCACAGTAAGTTCCTTCGGCGTGGCGAAGCTGTCAGAATAAGAGATAGCACTGGGACCAAATACTGTAGGACTTCAGTATCGTATATGTGCCGGCTAATGACGGAACACACCGTCCTCCGGCCATCCATTCTCCTCTGCACTAGCCAATCTCTTTGGAGCGGTCTTCAAAGTATCGGCGGGCTCGTACACCCAAGGAGCATGCGCACTAGCTTTGCGCCCGGCGTGCGCGAGTTGGATCCCGATCTTGACGCCTTGGGCGTGAACGAAGTCAACGCATCGCTTGATTGGAGCGATCTGGCTTTCGACCCAAAGTCCCGCATCTTCTGCAGAGATGCGGCCCTCGGGCACGACTGCGGTCGCCTCGACGATGATGGCGCCGGCACCGCGTGTTGCGAAGCCCCCGAGGTGGACCAGATGCCAGTCTGTTGCATGTCCGTTATCGGAGCTGTACTGACACATAGGGCTCTAGATGCGATGTATCAGGAAATTGGGTTGGTAAGAATAGAGGCGCCGTATGAGAACGCACAACGAAGATCCTATTGGGGAACGTCACACCACGGAGGGTGATGGGGCGGAACAGATGGGGGACATTGCGATTCTGCGGGTACGTCTCCTACAGCGAGATATGAGCGGCTATCGCGAATGCAGTCGCAAGAGTACGCACGGGACTGAGCGTCGCGCCCGGCGGGGGTGTATTCAGCGGGAAGTACTGGTATGCACCCGGGACTGCTGTGTTGACGGGCATTTTCAAGAGGACTGTCGTCGAAAGGTGGCGAAGGTGACGTTTGTGGGCAAGATGAGTTACGCCGGCGGCAGCCTTTATATGGCGAAACGCCATATGGTGCCTCGACGCCGCTACCAGGAAACTTGCAGCAGAGCGTGAGCAATCGTGTTGTACTTGCCACTCGTACTCACAGCTCACCTGAAATGAGTGTGCGCAGGGTCGGCTACACACGGTGTTCGCCCGTGGCGGAAATCATCAAATCAATAGTTGCAGGCCGGAAACATCGATACCATTGACAGCGTTGCTAATCCGGCAGTGTGATGACCAACTCATTGCACGCGGGGACTGAATTCATTCCCCCATTCGTCCAAGGAGACAGAGCAGTACTAAGCACAGGCGCCCAAGTTGTACCGGCGAGATGTTCGCAGGAAGGAGCATGTGCCTTCGGTGGCGCGCTGGTCCGTGCGTGCTGATTCCCACGACGGCTTTGAGCCCGACTGCCTCTGATTCTGCCCACCAGACCGAAGTTGCCGAAAGACGTTCAGCACTTTCAACTTTGCAGGTACACGATCTATGACTATGTACGAAGCCCGCTGTTATATCGCATAAATTCATCAGGGCGAGAAACCGATTCAGTGTCACCGATATCGACCGTGAGACCAGTCGTTTGTAGTTGCAGAGCGAT